CCCCTGGGGCTGGACCCCGAAGGCCTGGCTCTCCTTGTTCCTGGCTCACCCTGCCCCCCAGGTCTCCTGAAGTCATCCGTCTGCCCTTGTCTGTGTCTCACCCCTGGGACCCAGATGTCTCCTCTGCCCAAGGGTAGGTCGTGGAACTCAGCCCTGTCAAAAGGCTGACTAGGGCTGCGTTATTTTGTTTCCCCAAATGTTAATATGCTGACGCTAAGGGGACTTGAAACCATGTATGTCATCGGAGGAAGGGTTAGAAGGGCCGGGGCGGCTTTGCCTGGAGAAGACCGGAAGGGGACATGAAAGCTGTCGGTGGGGATTTGGAGGCCTGTCATGTGGCAGAGGGAGCCGGCTTGTTCCCAGCAGCTCTGCAGGGCAGGCTTAGGATCGCAGGGGGATGATCGAGGGAGACAGGCACAGCAGCCGTAGCTGCCAGTGCCCGTTCATGGAGGGTCTGCCTCCTGCAGAAGCAGCTTCCTGTCCCTGGCAGGGCTGCCCAGGGGGTTTGTTCACTGATGGGGCCTGACTTCCGAGGTCCCTTGCAGCCAGAGACACAATGACCCCACGCTCTGGGAATGGTTTCACTCTGGCTGGCAGGCAAGAGCATGCTTGCCCCCTTTGGTGGCAATATCGCGTGCAGGCCAAGGGCGTTGTGCCGCTTGTTTGTGGCATCAATGCAGTTTCGCACTGGCAAGCATTTTGTTTTACCCTAGATTCAAGGGCTGTTTGAGGGTTGCTTGATGGGGGGCAGGGGGTGGGCAGGGAATCATTGGGAGAGAGATCAGCTGTGTGGAAGATGATAGCATCCATACATGCTGCAGGGGGTCCTAGGGTCACTGATCCAGGAGGGTTCAACTTTCCTTAGTAATATTTCCTTTTCTTCACATTGGACGTTCCATGATATGAAACAGGGAAATCAGGTTCTTTTGGTTGCAAACGGCTTGAGGGGACACAGCCCTATCTACTCAGCATCCATCTCTGTCTGTGGCCCCTGAGTAATCCCTGGGAACCCTAGGTGTTCCAATAAACACACTTAGAAACCACTGATCACCCTCCTCTGTAGTGGGTGTGATGTCTGGGCAAAGAGTGTAGGCTCAAAGTCAGACTGGGTTTGAGCCCTCGCTCCGATACCTACTAGGTGAATGACCTTGGACAAGGTACTTGACCCCCTTTGTGCCTCAGTTTCCACGTCTGTAAGATGGGGACAATCTTAATGCTCCCCTCAGCTGTTGTGCGGACTAAGTTGTCACTGCATGTAGAACACCTTGAACACCTGTTCCTCATCAGAGCAAGGACAGGTCAGCTCTTCCACACAGGGGGGCACTGACATCTAACAGGCTGAGTGCCTTGCAACTGGTGCCACACATCTGGTTAGTGGCCAGAATAGGGCCTTGGCCCCCTTCTCCCAGACTCCCAAGTTCGGTGCTCACTCTGCATGCCCGCAGAATGCCGACTGCTTAAGACAGGTGTGTTCTGGATCTCTGTGGACCGTTCAGAGGGGCCACTGGCTTCTGGGATTGACAGGCTTTGTCTTTAGGGGCTCTCCAACTTACGGCACAGGTCAAGGAGCAGTTTTTGATAAGGACCTTGTTTGACAAAGAGAAAAGGGAGCTCCAGGGAGGTGACCCCCTGGAGAATTGCCCTGTGGCCAAGAGATGTGGGGCAGGGTGAGTGCAGAGAGGCACCAGAGCAGAGGAATCACCTGGGGTGTAATTGCCAACCACAGCTCCCAGTTCACGAGCTTGCTGACTCCTGCCTCTGATCCTGCTCTCCCCACCGCTCAAAAACCTTCCATGGCTCCCACAGCCCACAGACACAAGGAGCCCCGCAGCGTGAAAGACAAAACCCCTCTCCATCAGGCCCTACTCTCATTCCCAACCCAGCCTCCACCACTCCCTCCCCATCCCCTAGTCCAGATCTTCCAACAACACGCCTGACCGTTCTTCCCCTCTCACGCCTTTGCTCTTGCTGTTCCCTCTGCCCAGACTGTGCTACCTTCACGTCCTGTCCCTCTCCCAGACCACACCAAATACCACCTCCTCGGGGAAGCCTTCCCAGATGGCTCCCTCGTCCAGCAATCACTTCTCCGTCTGTGCTCCTGGAGCTCTCTGTACAGCTGAGAAAGAACCGGTACTGCCAACCCTAATAATAATCCGTATCTGTTCAGCCGCTTCAGCCGTGTTCAACTCTTTGCAACCCCATGGACTATATAGCCCACCTCTGTCCATCGGATTCTCCAGGCAAGAATAATGGAGTGGGTTGCCATGCCCTTCCCCAGGGGATGTTCCCGACCCAGGGATCAACCTGCGGCTCCTGCATTGCAGGTGGTTTATGTACAGCTGAGCCACCAGGGGACCCCCATTCTGTATATACTGAGTACTAACAACAACTCCATGAGTGGGCACCATTATTATCTTCACTTTATTTTTTTTTAATGTGGTGGTGGGGGATTAATTATTTTATTATATTCTTTTGACCATGCTGCTCAGCATGCAGGATATTAGTTCCCCAGCCAGGGATCGGATCTGTGCCCCTGTGGTGGAAGCTCAGAGTCTTAACCACTGAACCACCAGGGATGTCGCCTGTCTTCACTTTGTAGAAAAATGGAGACACTGAACGGTTAAGACACTTGTTTTAGGCCACCCAGCTATGAAGAGGCAGACTGTACTCACACCTGAGTCTGTTCTTGGGTCTTCTGGAGTCTTGAGCTTCAGCCTGGATGTCAATCTGCCACTCCCTGGTTCTAGGACACATGACATCCTAAGAACAATTAGCTGAATTCTCACCTGCCCCCTGGGCCTCAGGGTTGGTTCTTAATAGACGGTTGTTGAAGCAAGTTCAGCCCAAGGAGGGAATAACTTTATTTTAAAAAGTGAGTTCAGCAAAGGAAGGTCTGCTCTCCCAGCCTACACAGCACCCCACCCCCATGCTCTCTCCGTGGGGGTAGGCGCAGCTCTCATGGAGAGAGCTGGAAAGAGCGCTGGCTCCATTCCCAGAAGCTATGACCGCACATCTCTTGACCACAGGCCTGAGTCTGGGGGCTTATGGTATTATGGTCCCTCCGTACCCCCTGGAGCCTGTAGGTTCAAGATGGAAGCCTCCCATCTGGCCTGGGAACCACGACACAGGTGGCCTCTCCAGCCTCAGCAGAGCTGTGCTCCTCTGCTGGAGGGAGGGAAAGGCAGGACCACTTTCCCAGTGTCTGCAGGCTGTCCAGGCCAGAGCCCCTGGGTGCTGTGGACTCTGAGGTTGACAGTGAGCTGGGTGCAGTGGCTTTCTGGGGGCCGAGGTCAGGGACTCAGGACAGGAGGAAGTGTAGATAGCCTGGCAGGTGGACACGGAGGGGCCTGGCAAGAGTGGCCTTTCCCCACAGCTTGGAGACTCCAGAAGTTGGAGTGGGAGGGGTGGAGCCCAAGGGGGATTCTGAGGAGACCAGACAACAGGACCGGCTGCCCAGAGCGCTGGAGTCGTGGTGGGAGGCTGCCCAAGGGCCCTGAGCACTGGAGCTGACCACTGGGCTCTCCTCCTTGAGGCCCCACGGCAAAGCGACAGGGACCAGGCACCCAGAAGCTAAAACCGCAGGAGCCGGGAGCAGACAGATATCTTCGACTCTTAATTACCACCATCGCTGAAACCAAAAAGCCCACGCAGGCTCCTCTGTAAATAAACAGCGTCTCCTTGACTTGAAGATCCATCCGGGTGCACACATATTTACAGAGCACGTGTGATGTGTGCCGGTCTCTGTCGACTCACTCCCCCACACAATAATCTCTGGTCAAGTTTCACTTCTTTCCATTTAGGTTTGAGCTCATGTTCACAACCACCTGTGAGGAGGGAGGGAGGAGGGTTAATCCACATTTACAGCAGGAGAAAACCGAGCGGTTAAGTGACTAAAGCTGCATAGCTAGCAAGCAGTGCGATTTGCACAGAAACCTGGGCTTTGGCTCCCAGGGCAAGTCCATCAAGGTTCCCATCCTGGAAGCTTAGGGCCCCTGGGCTCTTCGGATGGAAGCTGCGGGGCACACCCTTCCCCACCCACCCCTGCCAGGAGCACACAGGGGCACTGTGAGCAACCAAGGCGAGGCTGAGCTGGGGTGAGGGGGAGTGGTGCAGGGAAGGACTGGAGGCAAGCTCTGGGACTAGGGCAGGGGAGGACAGGGTGTGCAGAGGTCAGTTGGGTGGGCTTCCAGCCCAAGAAAAGCTGAGCTAAAGGGGATGAGGACTGCTCAGGGGGTTCCAGATTCCCTCTTTGACTACCCATGTGGCTGGCACTTGCGGAGGGTCTGTGTGTGAGGGCCCACATGGCCTCAGAGGGGCTGTGGGAACTAACCCTTTTGGCAAATGAGGCTGGAGTTGTGGCTCAGAGTATGTGTGTGGGGCTGGGGGCCAGGGGCAGGGTGGGGGGGGTTGGGAGCATTCTTGGCAGGAGCTCTTTAAGAGGTACTTGAAAGCCCAGTGGGGGCTTCCCTGGTGGTTCAGACAGTAAAGAATCCGCCTGCAATGCGGGAGACCTGGGTTCCATCTCTGGGTTGGGAAGATCCCCCGGAGGAGGACATGGCAACCCACTCCAGTGTTCTTGCCTGGAGAATCCCATGGACAGAGAAGCCTGGCGGGCTACAGTCTATGGAGTCACAAGGAGTCAGACAGGACTGAGCGACTAAGCGCAGCACAGAAACCCCAATGAGGTCTCGGTAGGTCAGGGGCACCCTTGACCTCTCCCTTGGGGGGCATGAAGTTTGGGGGATGGGGAGTACCCCATGCAGGGTCCATGCAGTGAGGGAGAGACCTACCAGAGGTGCCCATTTTACAGATAAGGAAAGGGAGGCGCAGAGAGAGGAAGAGACCACCCAAGGTGAGCCCGCAAAGCAGAGCTGAGTGTAGAACCTAGGGCGCACAGCTCCCAGTGTGGGTTGGGCGGCTGTTCTGGGGCGGGGCTCTGGGCTGCGGGAGAATGGCTGGCCTTGACCAGTGAGGGTCTGACCTGTGCATGTCCTCTCCAGGGGCGCCCACCCGCGATGTCCTGCTGGTCTCTGCCATCATCACCGTCAGCCTTAGCGTCACTGTCGTCCTCTGCGGCCTCTGCCACTGGTGTCAGCGCAAACTGGTGAGGCTCCTAAGGGCCCCTGGGGGACGCGGCCTGGCCCTGCACCCCGCCCTCCTCAATGACAGGCTCGTGAACGCTCTCAAGGGCGCGCGCCTACGACCCATCTGCCCACGGAGCCGGGCACACTTCCGTGGAAATTCACCCCGGGCACTCTGTGTCTGCTGGGGCTTGATCCCATATGTCTGTGTGCACACCCAGAGCCACACACCTAGGCACACACTGGTGGACAGACAGGGGTCTCACGGGCGTTCGTACGCTCGTGACTACGCGCACACACGCCCCACTTCCCGCAGAAAGGACCGCAGGCACACACGTGCAGACTGAGAATGGAGACCCCCCTCCCACCCAGCGCCGCGCGCCCCCGCCCCTCCGCCCGCGCGTCATCACCGGAGGGCGCCGAGAGGGGGAGTCGGCCTGAATCACCCTCCTGCACCCCCGCAGCTCCCCAAGGGTGGCTGCCCTTGAGGCCGCCCCCCCATCCCCACTTCTGCTGCCCCAGTTTAGAAGTGCTGCGGGGTCTTTGAGGACTGCAGGGGGCATCCCCAGAGGTGGGCCCAGAGGTGCCCCAGGTGTGGGGCGTTTCTGAGGCTTCTGTGAAGAAGGGTCCCTGGCAGACACCTTCCATGCCCCAGATAAGGATGGTGGGAGTGAGAGCAGGGTGCCACATTTTTCTCCCTGCCCGATCACAGAGGGGCAAGGAGCGGGGAGGGCTGTGGCCATGGGTACCTTGTAGATGGGGGCTCCATGCCTCAGTCCTAATGAGGAGAAGGGACAGATACCCCTGAGGCCAGACCCAAGAGGCCAGCATGCTCCCTTCAGAAAAGGCAAGCCCGGGAGTTGGGGGTATTCTTTATCCTGGGATGTGCAGTTTCAGGCAGCCCTGTTCCCTGGGGAGGAGCCAGGGAGCAGGCCAATCTGGCCCCACGCGCGAGAGTGTGCGAGTATGTGTGTGACTCGGGCCCACTCCTTGTGTGCAGGTGCCAGGCTGGCTGCCCTGCATTGTTCCTGGATTTCCTGTCTCTGAGTCTGTCTCCGAATTCCAGGGGAGGTGGAGGAGGGGGCTTGGCCACGTGCCTGTGTGTGCCAGTGTCCTCGGAGGCCTGGGAGGGGCTGAGCCTGCGCTGCAGTCCTGTGCGTCTCGTTGCAGGGCCCCTTAGGCTGCCCATCTGTCTGTATTTGAAGGCAGGGGACTGTCGTATGAACAAGCACTGCTGGTGACCTTGAATGAGGGGTCTTTTGTGCTGGGGGTGTCAATTTTGAAGACATTAGTGCTGTGTGTGTGTGTGTGTGTGTGTTTGCCGCCCTGCACGGTGGGATGTGGATCATCTCATCACATCCCCATGTAAGTGCTGCAGTGTGTGTGTGTGTGCGTGTGTCTGTGCTTGCGTGCATATCTGTGTTTGCTGAGGGCCTCACCCCCACTCACCTGGGGACAGGAGTTCAGAGATGACAGCTTTTGTAGCAGGTGGGGGGGCTGTCACCGCAGGAAGTGCCTTGGGAAGCTGAGAGCTGCAGAACCTTCCCTGGCCCAGCCCCTCCTCCCAGCCTCCAGCCAGGAGCTTCCTCGGGGTCCAGACCAGACCGGCACGTGTCCCTCTTTGACTTGATCCTCTGAGCTGCTGCTAGAACATTACTTTGCAGAAGACCCCCCAGTGCTGCCTCCCCTTCCCCCCTGCCCCTCCACCCAGGTCTCAGAAGCCAGGGAGCTTTTTGTCCAGATTGTCTCCGTGTTCCAAGGAAGGGGCTTTCAGCTGCACCCACCCCCACCCCCACACAGTTGCTGGGCTCTCCTTGCCTGCTTGTCCCCTCAGCAGCAGTGACGTGATACCTGACAGCCCAGATCCCATTTCCAAACATTAATAACTTCCTTAATCTCCAGCTGGCTTTTTCCGGATCAGCCTGGCCAACCCCCTCCCTGCTAAGCAGGCTGGGGGGATCAGGCTCCTTTGGAGCCACCTAAGTCTCCAGTGGGGGTGGCTTCTTAAATGGCGCTAGTGGTAAAGAATCCACCTGCCAATGCACCAGACACCAAGAGCCCCAGGTTTGATCCCTGGGTCAGGAAGATCCCCTGAAGAAGGAAATGGCAACCCACTCCAGTATTCTTGCCTGGGAAATCCCACGGACAGAGGAGCCTGGTGAGCAGGAGTCCATGGGGTTGCAAGAATGGGCCACGACTGAGCACATATCAGCAGCAATGTCTCCAGGACCCCAGCTGGGGTTCCTCTCTTTGCCCCATTTACTTCCCCTGACCCCTAAAGCAAGTCCTACCTCGGTTCCTATCCCCCATATGCCCTAGCTCCTCTACAAAAGGATCGTTGCAGCTGAAGGGGAAGCTTCCCTGAGCTGTGGCAGGAAGAGAGGCAGGCAGAAGCTTCCAGAACACCCTGGGTGAGCCAAGTGCCTGGGCTTGGGGCAGGGGCAACAGACCAGTCTTAGAAGAGGGTGCTGGGCAGAGCAAGTTCCCTGAAGACCAGGAAGAAAGAGGAGAAGGAGTGAGGGGTAGGGTGGGGACCCCCAGCAGATGCTCCCTGCCCCAGGCCGCCTAAACAGCTGGAGAACTGCAGGGCTGGGGCTTCTGACTGAGAGTCCTGCTCATGAAGGGCCCTGGGCCACCGCAGAGGTGCTCCAGGCTCCCCACCTTCCCAGGTGGAACTAGGAATTGTTTGGGGCTTGAACTTCTGGGTGGACAATGGGAGGGACCAGAGCTGAGCTGAGAGAGGGCAGCTTTTGTGGACCCAAGGGATCCAACAGCTCTGGTTTTGTTCTTCTTTAACTCTTTGGGTTCTGGCTCAGAGCATCAGCGTGAGGCTGGGACGCCAGAGTGGGTGGGGTACCACACCAAGTCCCAGAGCCCATACAGTCCCTGCCACTGGGGGGCTACCTTCTCAGGGCTGGGAGCTGAAGTAGGTAAAGAGAAACACTAAAGCTGTGATGAGAACCTTGAAGGGTGAGGGACGGGAGCTCATCCGGGGATGCCACACCATTTCAGAAAGGAGGAAGGGAGGCCGGAGAGGGTGAGGGACAGGGATGCTGGGGGTGGCATGAGGCGCCTCCCCCCAGCCCCACCTCCCTTCCTGCAAGCTCCGCTGTTGTTGGCCCTCAAAAGGCAGCTCCGGTCCCGGGAAGGGGCTGCAGCTGGCAGGAGCGTCGGGGAACACGGCTGTGCGGCTTTTATTTTGCTTTAGGGAGAATGGAATAATTGACTGTTGTGGCTATGGTCTTGGCGCACATGACGGGATGTTGGGGAAATGTATGCCTGCTTGTGTGTGTGTGTGTGTGTGCGCGCGTGTGTGTGTGTGTGTGTGCGTGTGTGTGTGTGTCCCTGTCCCTACTCCACTGGGCAGGGACAGGCCAGTGCCCAGTGGGTGACAGCCCCAGCCCCTGCACTCCCCCTTCCCTGCCCAGGCCCGTGGCCCCTGGGTGCGCGTGAGGACGCTCGGTGGCCGCCAGGAATGTTAATGGTGCCGCGCTCTGCAGGAGCTAAATTTAGACACCCAAACCGAGAAGGTGAATGGTGCTCACCTTCCCGGCAGCAGGCCCAGTCACCGCTGCAGCCGTGGCCCTTACTCCAGCCAGGGGACCTGGTGTGCCCACCCTGTGCCCGTCATCCTGCCCGGTCCTGCCCTTCACTCATGCTGGTTGAGGACCTCTAGGCAGCTGAGCCTCGCTGCCCCCAGCCCCAGAGTCCGTGGGCAACCCTGCTTCCTTCCTACGGTGGTGGGTCCTCAGGCCCTGCCCTGCCTCACGGGCCCAGAGCAGAAGCGCCTTAAGGAGCCCCCAAACAGTAAGGGACACGGCCCCGGCAGGACTAGGCACGGGCCTTCTCCCCGCCCCCGCTGCTCACGTCACTGGCCACTGCCAACCTTGCCCTGCAGGATGCCACCCCCACCATCTGGGGGCAGTGACGTGGCCCGCGTGACGTGGCCAGGCGCCTGAGAGCCGTCTGTCCATGGCAGAGGGAGATATGTTTCTGGGAGCCGAGCCAGAGCCCCAGGAGACAGGCAGGCGGGAGGGGCCTCATCCCCGGGGGTCAGGGATGCGGTGCAGGTCAAAGGGGTGGGGCATGGGGCCCAGGAACTGCCAACCGGGGAGCAGGGATGGGTGGGGGCCGGCACCCCCGGCTGGTGGCACCCTCACACGTTGGCCTTGGCCCTTGCTGCCGAGGCTGGGCTCCCATCCACTCCCCTCCCCGCTGGGACCTTGCTCTGGGGAGGCAGGGAGAGTCCAGGCCCTGTCTCCCAGGAGTGACCCTGGTGCTGTCTCCACAGGGCAAACGCTACAAGAACTCCTTGGAGACGGTGGGCACGCCAGACTCAGGGCGTGGGCGCAGTGAGAAGAAGGCCATCAAGTAGGTGCCAGGCTTCGAGTCTGGGGTGGGGCACGCAGGCAGTCCAGGTGGGAGGAGCCCCTCGGGTGTGGTCACACGCAGTTTCCCCCTTACACCTGGGTGCCATGCTCCCTCCGCCACCCCCACCCCCATATACACCCTCCCGGTGCCTCAGTGACTCCAGGGCTCCGCCTTCTCTGCCCATGCTTCCCAGAACCTCTGAAGGCTCCAGGTCCCCCAGCCCCAGCCCTATCTCTGGCCGCCTCCTCCCTCAACCCACGTACTGGGTGCTCCATCAACCTGCACATCCCACACATGGTCCCCCAGCCCTGCCTGGCTCCCCTGCACCTCCAAGCCCCTCTCCCAGCTGGGGAGCCCCTCTATGGGGGGGGGCGTGGAGGGGGTTCAGAGCCCACCCATGCTCTGAGGGTCACCTGGAAGGAGAACAGACAAGAACCTTGGGCACCCCGGCAGAACCCAGTGCTGGGCGGCTCTTGGAAGCAGAGCGATGGGAGAGGTCTCCCTGGTCACACCTGGTCCCCACTGCACGTCTTGCTGCCCCGACTCTGCAGGTTCCCCCATTTGGCTCTGTGATACCTCTTCAGGTGGGCAGGTCTGCCTTGCCCTGCAGACCACTCCTGAGGGTCACTGGGAGACACTGGGATAAACTCCCAACCCCGCCACTGGGGACTCTAGAAACTGGGTGGGAGGGGAGGCCTCTTCCTAGAGGACTTTCTGCCCTCTGGCCCGATGGATTGCCCCCTTCCTCTCTGCCTAGCCCCGGCCTTTGCTGAGAGGTGGCTGGGCACCCTTCCATCTTAGCCTGCCAGGGCCGAGCCTGCCAGCCAAGGGCTCTGACTGGAAGCGGGGCCTCCCCCAGCCCTCCCTGCCCAACTCAAGGCCCCACTGCTCCTGCTCACGCCTCCCCTCCTGCCCTCCCCCTGGTCCATCTTCCTCTCTCCCTCCTTCCCCCACCCCCCGCCCTGCTCCTGAGGGCTCCCTCCCTGCCCTTCCTCAGGCCCCCCTCCTCTTTTTTCATCTCTTGCTCTGACCCTGTTTGGGGCCTTCACAGAAGCTGTGGGTGTGTCTGGGGGGGGAGCGGGTAAGTGGAGGGGTGGGCCGGGCTGAGGTTGGGGGTGGGGAGGAGGCTCGGGAGGAGGCTGCCGGGAGCCTTTGAAGCTGGGTTTGGTTGCACACTCTCCAGTCTTCAAAGCTGAGAGCTGGCAGGTCTCAGGGGCTGTTGCAAGAGCCCAGGCCCCAGGCTTTCGGAAGGAGGGGAGGGACCATGTGGGGGAGCAGCAGGCCAACCCAGCTCCTGTGCAGCCTCCAGGCCCGGACTCCAATTTACCTCTGTAGCCACGATCTGGGCCAGGGGGCCTGTCTCTGCCAGGGTGACCATCGTCTTCCTGGATAAGGATGTATGTGTCCCAGACAGTCCTAGAAAGGGCCATGAGAGGAGATGGGATTCCGACAGTGGGGAGAGTAGGCATCAGGGCAGGCAGCAGGCTCTGTGGGCTGGGACGAGTCCACAGGTATCAGACCCTCTACCCCAGGCAAAGGAAGCCACCTTTCATGGCTACATGCTCCCCGGTCCCTAGCCTTTGGGTTTTGCCTGGGCCCAAGCCAGTGGGCTCCCCTGGCGGCTCCGACGGTAAAGAATCTGCCTGCAATGCGGGAGATCTGGGTTCGATCCTTGGGTTGGGACGATCCCCTGGAGAAGGGAGTGGCAACCCATTCCAGTATTCTTGCCTGGAGATTTCCGTGGACAGAGGAATCTGGAAGGCTACATGGGGTCACAGAGAGTCGGACAGGACTGAGTGACTAACACACACACACAAAGCCGGTGGGGTGGCAGGAAGCAGGGTTTACCTGCTGCACAATCTCCCCGTGGGCTTGGGTCCTCCTCCCAAAGGATAGTGTTAGCAAGGGTTCCGAGAAGCTGCATCCTTTAATAGCTGTTTTTCAAACTGTTAATAGTGTTTCTCAAGCCGTGTTCCTCAGAGCACTCGTGCCCCTGTCAAAGATTGATAGTGGTCCCATGGATCCAGGGGTCCGTGACCAACTAAGTCTGGGAAACACTGATATGCGTGGGTACGTAAAGGCCCTGAGAAGCCCTGCAGTAAAGGAACCAGTGTTTTGCAAACTGCTTTAATGAAAGAGCCTCTTTTCTGGTACTACCGCGTACAACCTGAGGGACCGTGGGGCTTCTGGGAACACAGCAGAGGAGGCCAGCCTGGCAGTGATGACCCTGGGTGGATCTTTCTCTCCAGGACCCTGGGTGGGATGGGCCTCAATTTTGGAGATCTGGAGGGGACAGAGGAACAAAGGCCTTCCAGCTGTTCCATTGCTGTTACGCTAGGGGAGAGGACCAGAGCACGTCTCTCGCAGAGTAGGGAATAGGGTCTTCTGTGGGGGGAACCTCCCAGGGGAGTCCCCCACCACCACTAGGGTTCCCTCCCAGTGGCCTCCCTTGCTTCTCCCACCCCCGGCCCCCACTGTCCCCTGAGCTGGCTGAGGGCTTGGGCCTTGGACCCTGCGTACAGAATCCCCTGTGAGACATTTCCAAGGCACAGTCTGGACTGGCTGAGACTCTCCATACCAGGGAGGCCCAAGGGAGCCCTGCCCGCCCACCCTCAGGCCCGGGGCGCTGTCTCCTCCTGGCCTGGGGAGACATCTCAGCTCTGCTTCCTCTTTTTCTCCTTTGTTCTGCAGTCTGAGGCTGAGAACCAAGGTTGAGGTCAAATGCTGGGGCTGGTTGGAGGGAGAAGCAGGCCCGCCGAGAACATCCTCTATCCTCAGGGGTTATGCCTCCTGACAGTCTCCCCCCCGCTCCCCAAACAGAGCCCTCACCTTGGCCTTGAGCCCTGGCATGGCCTAGGCACACACCACACCCACCCCCGGCACGCCTCCCCAAACCCCTTGCCGTCGATGCCTTCCTGAGGGCTCAGATGTGACTCCTTTCTGGAATGTTCCTTTGGCCTGTGGGTTGCCCTCCCCTCCCTGTGCTCCAGTTCTGCTCTTGGGGGGCTTCCCAGGAACCCGACAAGCTGGTGGAACCCCTGTCTTTGACTCCCGGGTTTTCCAGGCCATGCCTCCTGCCGAGGCTTCTGCTGCACACCACCAAGGGAGCAGAGGAGGCCAGGGGGACCTGGGGCCAGTGGGAGGAAGAGAGGCCAGTCAGGAGCGGGGCCTGTCCCCAGAGTGGCTTTCTTAAGTAGATGGAAGGGCGGGGAATTTCAAGTCTTCCAGAACTGGGGCCTCGACCCCAGACTGGGAATGCTGATGGCCCAGCATTTGCTGCCAACCTTCCAGTTTGACGAGGCAGGGAAACCGAGGCCAGGAAAGGGGGCACCTAGCGGGTAGGCAGCAGGGTCTGATCTACTTTGCAGTCATTTCCAGCCAGAAACCAGCACACCCCGTCCTCCTCCCCGTCCCCATGCCATCAGCATCCCACCCCAGGCTGCGTCCCGGCCCCTCCTCCCCCCCACCTCCTCTCTCACCATCTTTCTCTCTCCCACCAGCTTCCGGGGTGCAAGGCTCCAGTCTGCCCACCTGCAGCTCGCCTCCTTTCACCGACCTCTCCCGCCCTGGAGCGTGTGTGTGTCTGTGTGTGTGTGAGCGCGGTGTGTGTGCGTGCACATGTGCGTGGGCCGCCCGCCTCTCTTCCTCCCGCAGGCGCGACCCCCGGCCCGCCCCACCCTCAGTTCCCCCCCAGGGGGCCCGGCCCTTCTGCCCACACGGGACTTGGGCGGTTCTTGTTTCTTCTTGTATCTCCCTGTTTTCTCCCCTCTCTCTCTGCCCCTCCAGTGATCTAGACAGAGACTTTTGGAATAACAATGAGAGCACAGTGCAGCAGAAATGGAGCTCCTACCCTCCCAAGGAGTTTATTCTAAACATTTCACCCTACGCCCCTTATGGCGACCCACGACTGTCCCTCAAGTGAGTGACTTTACCTGGTTTGATCATATGTACCCACTACCCTCGCTCGCCCTCCCTCTCTGTGCAGTCAGGATGGGGTTGCCCGTTGGTTTTTTTTGGTTCCCCCCTCTCTCGGTGTGGCTCGCTTTCTCCTCCCTGCTGTGTGCTGCTGCCCTGGCTGCTCCGGTTGGTGGTCGGTGGTCTCTCGTGGAGGTGGTGGCGGTGATGGTGGTGATGAACTCTGACTAACTCGGCTTTCTCTCTCTCCCTGCCTTGGGGCCTCCTGGCCTGGACAGCCCGCTCTTCCTCCGTCGTTAACCCTCCGTTGTCCTGTGGGATAGACTTGGAGGTGGCTGCCCTCCCCCACCCCCGCCGCCCGGGCCCCAGGCGGTGGGGAGGGGCCCCCCTCCGTTGTCGTGGTGCGTTGTTCTCCGACCCCCAGCCCGCCCCGTCCCCTCTCTCCTCTCTGCAGGCTCCGCTGGTGACCCATTTGCAGTGCTGACGTCTCTCTCTCTCTCTCTGTCTGTCTCTTGTCTGTCCGTCTCTCTGTCCTCCTCCTCTCTCACTGCCTCTTTCTTCCTTTTATCTGTCGTTGTTTCTCCTACTCTGACCCCCCCGCCCCCACCCCCGTGTGGCCTGCCCTCTCCCCCACCGCCACCCCCGGTTGCCCCTCTGGCCCGGCTGCCTCATGGTCCATACGTCCAGTGGCACCCTTCTGGCGGGCGCCAAAGTGGCCGCCGCGGCAGGGCTGGCGGTGGAGCGGGAAGGCCGGCTGGGGGAGAAGCCGGCAGCGGCGCCGCCACCCGGAGAGGACGCCTTGAGAAGCGGCGGGGCTGCCCCCAGCGAGCCGGGCAGCGGTGGCAAGGCGGCGGGGAGAGGCCGCTGGCGGACGGTGCAGAGCCACCTGGCCGCCGGGAAGCTCAACTTGTCCAAGTGAGTGATGGCCCCACGGCCGCCGGAGCCGTGAGCTCAGGCCTGCACCCCCATCTCCGCTCCCCGCCCCCGCCCCCCCGCCGCCAGTGTGGACAGTGGGACCCCTGGCATGCCCGCTGCTGCCCCCAGAGGTGCCGTCCTCGGCCCCTGGCTCATCCCATCCCTTCACGAAACTCCCATCGTCCTTGCCACCAGCACGACTGACTCAGCCATGCACCGTGCATCTCAGCCTCTGGTTGCCACCCCCATCCGTTTCTCTTTTTGCCAGCGACCAGGTCATTTCATTTTCTGCCCCCAGGGCAGCTTCATTTCAGCCCTTGGGTCATCCCATCCTCTTTGACTGGCTGCCCCATCTCGACCTCCATGGGCACCAGGCCACAATTGTTAGCCACCGGACCATCCATCCGTGGGGAGCTGGTCCAGCCTCAGCCTGTTTTCTGCCGCTCATCTGCCACCGGGCCTTCCCTCTTGCAACCAGCACAAAGCTCTCGACCCAGAGGTCGAGCCATTTCATCTTGACCATCAGGTGACTCCATTGGCTTATCCCAGTCTTGCTTGCACCATGACACCATTTGTTCCTTGGGCCCGCTGTGAGCAGCTGGGAGGCCCCCATTGGCTCATCCCTGTCAGCTGTCCCGGTCTTGGTCACTGACCTGTCCCGCTCTCAGCTGCTGGGACTGGATGTTCTTGGAGATTGGGTTGTTGAGCCCCCAGCTAACTTCTCTTTTCTGACGAGGGTGGTCTGGATGTCAGACAGAAGAGCCGTTTCCCTTTTAATAACTTCTGAGCTGGCCAAACAGTCAGTCCAGTCCCTCCCTGGGAGCAACAGACATAGGGTGGGCCTCTATTCTCTGCAGATATTAAGTTCCTCCCGCCCCCCATGGGGCAGCCTTATTCTCATCTTGGCTCTTAGAACCTTCCATTTCCCCACAGCTAAGCCTCCCAAGCTCTAAATCCTTTGAACTATGACCGTTCTCACCTACTGGGATGTAGGTTCCATTTTCGGCTTTTAGAACCGCCTCGTTCCCAGCTAATGCAGGAGCCTCTCACTTAGAATGCCAACAGCCCTGACCCCTTCTTGGTGGTCGGGCCAGTTCTCTTCAGCAAACCTGTGGTTCCCGCCAACGGGACCACTGAGGACCACCCCGCTGAGACCTCGTGTGCTCGCTCATCGGCCTGAAGGAGCACGAGCCGATGTGTCCCCTGACATGGAGCCTAAGGAAGGCCCCAGAGGGAAGCCCCACCATCCTTCAGAGGGCCAGGCCCAGCGCCCCGCCCTCACATAGTTACTGCGGCCACAGACTCTAGGCTGGCTGAGGCCTCCATGCCCTCCGCTGGCTCCAGGCCTGGAGGAACCGATGTTAGTTTCCCTGTGACTGAGAGGTTGTAAATTGGACTAATTCTGGATGTGATAGAAAACCAAAATGAGGTCAGGGAGGAGGAGGAGAAGGCGGCCGCCCTGGTGCCGGCCTCCCGGCTCCTTAGCCTGCCCCCGGGGAGTGTGGGCCCACCCAGCCAGCCAGGCCAGGGCCTGCCCCTGGGGGTCACCTCGATGCCAGGCCTGAGCCAGGTGAGGCTGCCGCCCCAGCCAAGACCCCAGCTGAAGCCATATTTTGCTTTTCTCTTTCTTCCTTCCTTTCTGTCCTTTCTTTCTTTCTCTCTCTCTTTTTCTTTCTTAACTTTCTCTCTTTATTCTTCTCTGGCTTTCTGTCCCTCTTCTCGCTTTCTCTCTCTCAGCCCACAGGGGCAGCCTAACTGTTGTCCTTTTGGTTCCCAGGGTGGGCTCAGGGTGAGCCAGGCTGCCTGGCTGTGGTGGTGAACGTGGCTCCGAGGGCCCCGGGGCCTCTCTCGGGCAGCTCAGGGCGGGGGCGGGAGATGGGGGGGTCCCATCTGCCCTATGGCCCCAGACTAGGAGGTGGCAAGCTATCTCTCTAAGAGATCTGATAGGAGATAGGCTTTGCAAGTCAGGTAGTCTGTTTTATGACTATCAGCCCCGCTTTTGCTGCCCCAAAGCTGCCATAAACAACATGTAAATGAATGCCAGTGGTTGCATTCCAGTAAAACTTTATTCACGAAGACAAGTGGCGAGCCACATTTGGCCCACAGGCCAAATGACTGAATGAAATGAAATGAATGAATTCAGTCGTGGACGACTGAATGAAATATGGAGGGAAGGAACAAAAGATGAGGAGGGTGGGCCCCCTGAGGCTCTGGCCCTGTAGGTGCTGAAATCTCTGGCCAGGAGACAAAGCAGATGGGTTGTCCAGGAGGCCTGTGGTCTGAGACCTCCTTCTGCCTCCATTTTCTGAGACATCTGTAGCTTCCCCTGGCAAGGGAGCAAGGACCAGTAGCATATTTCCCTGTGTCTGACCTCTTTAGGTCCCCATGGTAACCCTGTGATGGAGGCAGCTCGGAATTTTTACCCCATTTTACAGATGAGTAAACTGAGAGGTAGCCTCCTTTTCCCAAAGTCCCTCAGTGAGGAAGCGGCCAAGATGGGGCCTGGACCCTGGGTCTCTCTGAGCCCAGACTGCCTCTGATGAGCCATGTCCTTCCTGTTGCCAGCGTGTTTCAGAGATGTTGGTGGCCTGTGAGGTAGGTGCCCTATTGCAGCTGCCTAGAGGACAGGATAATTACCCTGTTCTTTGTCAGAACTTGGGTAATTCGAGTTCTGCCAAGCAGCCGGCCAAGTGTTTTCCTAAGTCCCCTCGTCCGACTGGGAGCCATTCCCAACATACTGTGAAAGGAAACTAAGCCTTGGAAACAAGGAGCCCCAGAAGGGTTCCCCGCGCCAGAGCGCGAACCCTGAGAGAGCGCCGGCCAGAGGGCAGAGGTCCCCGAGGCCCGGACACGCCCCAGCCTCCGAGGACAAAGCAGGACAACTGTTGAGGCTCCTGACTCACCGCGCGTTACTAGGCCAGCTCCATGCTGGCCTGGATTTCCTGGCGTCTCCAAAGGCCAGTAGTACTTAGAGCACAGAGGCGGACTTTCTTGGGGTCCCCCAGTGAGATGGCGGGAGGGGGTGGCCCAGCTCCCTCCACCCCCCTCCCATTCCAGCAGGACAGGCAGCCACGGGGCCCTGGGACCCGCCTTCACCACGCGGCCAGCGGCGCAGCTCCGCGGCCCGCTCAGACCAGCACAGAGATCGGCTCAGACAGGAGGTATCGGGCACTAGCTGAGCCAGGGCCGGGGTGGGGGGCTGGGCGGGCCGCCCTGGGGGCCTCTGGGTGGGCGCGGGGCCCGGCGGCGGCGGCCTCCTGGGTGAGTTGGTGGTGGCGACGGCAGCGGTGACAGCTCGGATGGAGGCCCGGCGAGGTATTCCGGCAGAGCGCGCCCGGCACTTGGGCCTCCTCGTCCTGGCCCTAGGCGTCTTTTTCCTCCACTGTGATCCCTTCACCTGCTTCTCCTTTCTCTCCTCTCCTCCACCCGCCCCAAGTTTCGAGGACTCCACCCTGTCCACGGCCACTACCCTTGAGTCTATCCCCAGCTCCACGGGAGAGCCGAAATGCCAGCGACCCCGCACCCTGACGCGGCAGCAGAGCCTGCAGCAGCCGCTGAGCCAGCACCAGCGGGGCCGGCAGCCCAGCCAGCCCACCACCAGCCAGAGCCTGGGCCAGCTGCAGGCCCACGCGGCCTCGGTGCCCGGCCCCAACCCCCGGGCCCACGGCCGGGGCCAGGCACGGCAGGGCTCCTCGGCCGGCTCCAAGTACCGGCCGGCCGGCGGCCGCAGCCGCTCCAACCCGGGCAGCTGGGACCACGTGGTGGGGCAGATTCGAAACCGAGGCTTGGACATGAAATCCTTCCTGTAAGTGCCCCGCTCGAGCGGCCTGGCCCCCACCTCCCTGACCCAGCCTCTTTTCCTCCCCGTTTCCTTCAGAGCGGCTGGCTCTGAACCACGCTTAGCCCTCCGTCTCTGAGGCAAGGTGCCCGGCAGACTCGGGCACCCTCTCCCGAGCCTCTTATGACTGTGGCTCGTGCCTGAAGCACCGCACCCCCCCCCCACTGTGGAAGGACTTATATCTGAGCCACCCCCTGAGGGCCCCAGTCCCCCTTGGTGCCCCCCAAAAGCCAGTGGAGACACTAGGGGATGCTCCTGAGGTCCCCAGACCTGTCTGTCCCCTTCTGGCCAGGCCCAGGCTCTCCTGGCCTCCCTGTCAGCTCTCTCCTCCTAAACCTGGTCTCCTTGACTCCAGCGCCCAGGCCTCACTCCTCCTGTCCCTGTAACCTGACTCTGCTCACCTTGCGGCCCTGCACTTCCTCCCTCCCTCCCTCCCACTTCCCCTGTCCCTGCCCTGGGCCCTGTCCTCTGTCCCTCCGACGACCTTCCATAGCCACCTGCCCTCCACTTCCCCCCCTGGCTCCCACCATGACCCGCTCATTCCCTGAGGACAAACCTCACAACGTTCCCCCAAAGCTTTAGAAAGCGTCTCTGGGTCAGAGGCTGCTTTGACGTGCACGGGTCAGAGAGGTAACGACACCCCGTCTGTGTCTGGCCCTAACCATTCCCCTCTGCTGGGTGTGCCCCTCACCCGCCCCCTGCCATGTGTCCGCTTGCCCCCTCCCGCATCGGCAGGGCCCCACCCAGGGCACCCTCTGCCCAGTGTCCCTCTGGGCATCTACACGCACTCTCCGAGCCCGGGGCAGGCCTGGGCTTCAGTCCCTGACATCACCTCCTTCCTCTGGCCTAACGTGACCTTCCTTCCAGGCTCTGGGGATTATTCTCAACACCCAGGTCTTTCCTGGAAGCGCTTTTCATGGAGCAGGAGACCAGCACACTAAGCCTGGGAGAGGAGAAAGGGAGGAGGAAGGGGAAGGCCAAGGTGAAGGCCCGCTCACTGGCAAAATGTGAGGATTCTGAGCATCCTTCGGAGCTCGTGCCTCTGGCTGAGACCCCAGCCCGAAAGCCGGTCAGGAGTGCTACCCCTGGGAGGGGCAGCCCAACGGAAGACACCCCTGTCCTCTGCCAGCTTCCCATACCCTTGGCCCTGGCCAGGCAGGAACATGCCATGCCACCTGTGACTCCTTGGCCAAACTAGGCAGCGCATCTGCTGGGGCTTTTCCCCACCCAAGGACCGTCAGGAATTCAGCTGGACGCCGGCCTGAGACAAGATAGCCGACAGAGCCTCCTGGCCTCCAGAAGGGCGGCTTGTCCTGGGGCGGATGCTGTGGCACCGGTGTGGATTGGAAGAGTGATGGGAATCGGTTCTGCCGTGGCTTAAGCAGGACGGAGAGCCGGCCGGAACCCTGCACCCCTCTGCTCCTCCTGACTGCAGGCGGCCCTCTGCACAGCCATCACCCTGCCTCCCATTCTGTAGCTGTCACATGGGAGCAGGACCCATGCCCAGGCTCCGGGAAGAAAGCAGCCAGCCTCAGAAAGGCCACTGGTACCTCCTCCCCTGCCCTCCCCCTCTCTAGCCAGCCAGGATTCGATGAGCATCACTCTCGAGTGGGCATCAGCGTTTCTTCTGCCCACGGCAGTGTTCGCGCCCCTCACCAGCCAGCCATCCCCAGAGCTCACTCGTCCCCCACCTCCTCCAATTGTAGTCCCTCACAGCAGGGTTCAGCAAACTTTTTCTGTAAAGGACCAGATTTATAAATAATTTAGGCTCTGAGGGACACGTGGTCTCGATCACATTTAAAAAAAAAAAAACAATCCTTTAAAAATGTACAAACCATTCTTAGCTTGTGGGCTGCACAAAACAGGCCACCAGCTGTAGCTTGCTGGCCCCTGACCCCTCTCACAGATCAGCTGGCGTGCTTCTGACATCCTTCTCTCGCCCCAGATGCTGGGGGCCCACACAGAGAGTCAGGGTAAGAAGGCTAACCAGGCCCCCCAAGACCCCACCCCCTCTTGCAGGGAGAAGGCATTCCTCCTGCTTCCAGAATGTGACCCCCCCATAACACCACCAGCTTCTCCCCCAAATCTCTTCCTCTTGCCCTTCACTCACGCCCCTGTGGCCTGCGATGCCACAGAGAATGACAAATCAGGAACTTATGCAGAGCAGCCGTTTTGTTTTTAAGAAGAGCAAAAGGAGTATCTGAAAAATGCATTAACCAGGGAAAAACATGTTTTCGTTGGGTTTGACTTCCCCCAGCACAACCAGCTTCCAGGCAGTCAAGTGGAATTTTACCAACTGTGAAACAGTACCGGTGGGCAGGGAACAAAGGAAAAAATGAGGATTTGTCCTGAGGAAAGGGGGCGTTCTTTCCGAAAGTTAGATGCCAGTGCAGGTGTCAGCCTGGAGCAGCCGTGCCCAGGACGAAGATGCAAAGACAAAGAAGTCAGCATCCACCGGCTTCAGACCCCATGGCCGTCCCCCATTTTCCGAGACCCCCACCCCTCCCCTCTGTCGTCATATGTCATTCGCCTTTTTGACAACCTCTCCAGGAAACCACCACATCCAGCGGGTCCTCTGTGAACTTCGCCCTCTTGGATGGTGGTTGAAGCGGGAGACCTCCTGGCCCAGGAGTCCCACCCTCTGGGACGTCCCATCAGGCTGGCCTTCTTTCCCTCAGTCTCATGCCTGCTGCTCTTGAGAATCGCTCTCCCCATGTTCAGCTGAGAAGCCAAAGCTGGGGGAGCTCAGCCAAGCACCCGGAAAACACCCACAAACTGCGATGGCTTAGAGGGGCACTTTACCTCCCTGGAAAGGGCAGGCGGCCCCACAACTGCCCAGTGGTCCTCTGAGAGAAGCTGGCCCAGAAGACGTCACCCCTTGACCTCTGGCCCCACGCTGCTGCCCACTTGATGATTCCTGGGCCGCCTGAACTGAGCCTTCCTCAGGGCAGGATTCCTCCAGACCACCCTGATTGTGGGCACAGGTCCCTCGAGTCCTGCCAGGCCCGCTCCAGCCCTGGCCAGCTTCCTGCACTTTCTGTCTCTCTCTCTCTTTGCCCCTTGGCACCTTCTGGACTGAGTCTCCAAGGAAAGGCCCGTGAACTGGACCCCAAAGCCTTGGTGGCTATTCCCGAGATCTCCAGGAAGTGGGACACAGGAGAAGGCGCAGGATGGCCGGTCTGCCATATGCCAGAAGAGACTAACCTTCTCCTCCAATGGGCTGAGTCTCTAAGGACCTGGGAGGGAGGCCCCCAGACCCACCTCCTGGTGACCCTGACCCAGGGATGTCTTGATGAGGAACTTCACTGGATGCAGCGCCCTCTGGGTTTTCCAGCTTTCTAAGAACTTCCTGCCTCGAAGCCCAAACCCCTGCCCACAGGGTCCCCAAGCAAGATAGCAGCAGAGGGCCTCCCCTGCTCTTCTCCTCGGGGCCCAGGTGGTCTGAGTAGCCTCTGGCTTTTGTTCAACTGGAGATGAGTCAACCTTGGATACGGACTGTGTCCGGGGGCCTGGGCTCCACTCCTCCTAGCCTGCTCTGCGGGTTTTCTCGGGGCATCCCAGCCACATGCCTCTGCCCAGCCCCTCCCCCGTGGCGAGCTGGGTCTCAGGCTTCAAACACCTCCACTCCATTCCCCTCCCTTCCCCACCCCCCCAGCCCACCTCCTCCCCTCCTCTGCTCTACAACTGTTGACAGTGCTGAAGTTTGGTTTCTCTTCTGCAGGCCCAGTTTCTTATGCTTTTCTCTTCTCTCTCTTTGTCTCTGTCTCTCTGTCTCTCTCTCTCCTTCCCCTCCCTGCCCCCCACCGCCCCGCGGGGCCTCCTCCTCCTCTCTCCCCGGCTGGTGGGCTGCCCACCCCGCCCCCCGGGCAGGGAAGGCCGGATGGTGGTGCTATCCTTGGTCTTAGGGCTTTCGGAACAGGATGACTTTGCCAATATCCCTGACCTGCAAAACCCAGGAACCCAGCAGAACCAGAACGCTCAGGGGGACAAGAGGTACGAGCACGGGCGAGGGCCTGCGGCGGCCGTGGCAGAGAAGGAGGCGTGGAGAGGCTGCCAGCCTCGACCCCCGGCTGCTGGACGAGGCGGCGGCGCCTTCTGCGGATGCTGGAGCGGGAGGACGACCCGTCCCCGGCCGGCGCCCTCACACCCGCCACGCTGGTGGTGTCCCTTGGGGCCTGAGGCCAATGTGGCTGTCCTGGGACCATTCTGGATCAAGCCTGCTCCCTGGGCCTGCCTGCCCTCGCCCGGAGCAAGCCAGCCTTTCGGCCCCATCTTCCTGCTTGGCTCCCCTTCTGCTGCCCCCTCATCTTTCATTTCTGTCCCACCCGACCCAGAAATCCCAGTTTCTCTGGCGGTTGGTGGGCGGTGGGGATGTTAGGGAGGGGGTGCCAGCCTGTTCTCCCTCATCCCCGCCACCTCAACCTCCTTCTTGCCTGGAGGTCCCGCTGGGGTGATGGTCTCACACACACACACACACACACACACACACACCATCCCTGCAGAGATGTGACCTGGCTGCTCAGGCCTCATGGAAGAGGAGGCCCTGGTGGGGAAGGTCTGGGGCCTGAGAGAGGCCCAGGAATCAGAAAGAACCAGAAAGGCAGCCCCCCCTCCACCTGGGCCTGAGGTACCAGGAGGAGGGAACAGGAGAGGGTGGGAGGGTGAGAGCAGGTGGCAGGGGCTGGTTGGGCCCTCTGTCACTGGGAGCCTGGCTGCTGGCCTTTGAGGAGTAGCCCACGTGGCCCCAGCACGGGCTGAGCAGAGGCATTTAACCATCCATCGCCCTGGTCATCAGGGGCCAAGGGAAGCATCATCTGATGCCCCCTCTCAAGGAGGGAGCAGAGCACTCTCCTGGGGAAAGGGACCGGCAAAGGTCAAGAGGCCCAGGGTTCAGGCAGCATCACTAAGGCGGGATGACCCTGCACCTGGTCTGGCCGCCTCCTCCCGCCTGGCCTTGGGGTGGGTCAGGTACATACCTGTAATTGCGGAAGGAGGGCGCATCCCCTTGATTGGGTTGTACTTTCCATCAGACGAAAGGCCTACAGGAGAGCTGTGCGGCCTGGCAGCCAGGCCACCTCCGTCTAGCTCTGGTTTTGAGACCTTGGGCAAGTCACAGCCCTTCTCTGGACCTCTGCTTCCTCGTCTGTCAAGTGAGGGATTGGACAGGGTGACCCCTTCCAGCTTGGACATGCCAAGCCTCTAATGAGGGAGCAGCCCCTCGGCTTGAGGCACAGGTCAGAGCCTGTCCGCCAGGCAGGGACCCTGACCTTCACTCACTAAGAGCCTGGAAGGTGCAGGAAGGACTCTCCAGGCTGCTCCCGGGGGCCTGTGCGTGAGGGGAGGACAGGCCGAGTTAGCCAACTTGCCTGTCTCTGCAGTGGCTTCTGGAAACCCAACTCTCCTATTTTTTTCCCGTCCCAAGTTCACAGTTGCATGTTTGGTGGGCAAAGCTGCAAATGACCGGAGAGTGGGAGGGGAGCGTGGGACCAGCTCTTCTGCTCAGGGCACAGATGTGTCACACCCTGATCCCAGGTCTTGGGATGCAGGAGGAGCCGAGTCTGCCACCTCCAGGCCACTGGAACCACTGGAGTCCCAGCTTCCCGAGCCGGGCTGGCCTGCGGTGGGGGAGAGGGCTAGGGGCCGCAGGAGCGGAGCTGGAGCCCTCTGAAAGCCTTGCTAAGAACCCGGGCTCCTGGCCGACAGAGGTGTGAAGCGTGAGGGAGCAGATGCAGGCTGGAAACGAGATTTCACATCACCCATGTGTTAATTAACTGGCTCCATTTTCACCCACCGCCTATTTTTACCTCCTTGCCACTCAGGTCTCACTCCATATTTTAACACACTCATGCCTTCTGATCATTGCATCAGTCATCCCCTGCCTTTCTGGGAAAGGTGGGTGTGGAGGTGAGGGCCCTGAGCCCTCGCCCCCACCCAGCCTGACTTTCCGAGTGGACCCAGGCCATTCCCACCCAGTCACACCTGCTCCATCCCGGAAGCTCATTTCTCATGGCTGTCAGGGTGTTTCTCGGGCAATGGGCCACAGCTAGGGTGCTTTCTGCCCGGCACTCTCCCCTCCCCCAAGCTTGGCATTGGCGTCACCCTCCCGGCACCGGGCAGTTTAGGGTCCACCCCTCTGGGCTCCTGGCTGCATGGACCTTGCAATGGTGAGCTTGGGTCAGCTGTTCCCTTCCTCCTCAGCTTCTGCCTCCACATCCAGGGTTCACCCTCCAGTCCCAGTGTCCCCTTCTCCACCCAGCTGACCCCTTGGCTGGGTGTCGCCTGGGTAACAGATGGGTGGCCCTTGGCTGTTGTAGGGGAGAGCATCCAGCCCCCCAGGTCTGTTAGCCGCAGGTTCCCGGGAAATAGGAGGGCCCTTAGGAGGAGGTGTGGCCACTCCAGGTCAGAAGCAAGATGGGGGTGCATTTAGCAAGTCACTGCCCCCCACTCCCACAGTTCTTGGTGGCCCTGAACCCCCCCATCCAGGATCCCCCAGGCCCCTAGGCCTCGGCGCTGGAGCCCTAAGAGATGCAGACGGCTCCTGGGACCACGAGGGGGAGGGAAGGAGGCCACGGCCACCCCTGGCTCCCATGCCCTGCTCACCCGGCCCACCTCGCCCACGCTGCCCTGCACCCACGCATGCCTCATGCCCCGTCCATCCCTCTCACCGTCGCTCCTCGGGATCCAAATGGTTTCCACCATGGCCCCCCCCCCCCAGAGTGGGGTCGGGGGGCAGGGCGGGACCTGGCCAACCCATCGCTGCCACCCGCTCTGAAGCCGCCATGTCTCCGTCCCGGTGTGTGTCCCCGCCTCCTCTCTGCCTCTCCTGTCGGCCGCCTCGCCCCTTGTCGCCTTGTCCACCCTGCAGCCTCTTCACTCGTGTCCGACTAACCTTTCTCGGCCTCTCTCCCTCCCTCCCTGTCTCCTTCCTCCCATCTGCTCCTCACAGGGACGCCCCTGGGCCAGGCCGGGCCCCCTGCCTCTGTGCCCCCGTCTCTCTGTCTCTCTCTGTCCTGTGACCTCCGGTAGCTTCAGTGGCGCTGACCATCTTTTCCCAGGCTGCTTGGCAGCTGCGCTGATGCTGTGGTGTGGCCAGAATAACTCCGACTTTCTCATACCTTCAGCGGTCAATCTCGGCTCTCTCCTCCTCTCCCACTCTATTTTTAACCTGACTTTACCTCTCCAGCTATTTCAGTCTCCTCTTCCTCCCCGTGCCTGTCTGCGTGAGCACGTGTCCATGTGTGCGTGTGTGTGTCTGTGGGGCGTGCATGCGTGCGTGTGCTCTGCTGTGGCCCGCCTCTGGGAGGGTGCCCCGCGTGTCCTGGCTTGGTTTCTGGGAGGGTGCCCTGCGTGTCCTGGCTCGGTTTCTGGGAGGGTGCCCCGCGTGTCCTGGGGTGGTTTCCATGTTGTCTGGATGAGGCCAGGTTCTCACAGCAGCTGCACCGTGCGTCTGAGTCCCGTGGCGTCTGTCCCCGAAACTGCTGCCTGCTGAATGTGTCCCAGTTCACATGCACCCCTTGGCATGCCCGGGCCTCCCCGAACGTGTGTCCTCTCGGAATCTAAGTGTGCACAGCGCTGCGTGTGCGTCGTCTTGCTGCTCTGGTTGATCCGCCTGGTTGCCCATGCCGTGTCTCTCCCTGTTGCCTGGGTGTCTGTTGTGCTTTTGTGCACTCGTGTGTGTTTGTGTGTGTGTGTGTGTGTGTGTGTGTGTGTGTTCACACACCCCGCTGTTGGGTCCTGGCGTCTCCCCTCCAGGTCCTGGCATATTCCATGCATGTCCTGTCTGCCTGTCGTAGCCAACCGTGGGTGCTGGTGGCTGGTCCATTCCGAGGGCCATGGCTTGCGTCCAGCCTGTGTGTGCTTCCGAGTCTATGGCTCTGGCAGCCTCGAAGCTGTTCTACCGTAGCCCGTCATAAGCCCCACGCTCCCCACCACACGGCCCCTTCCTCGCTGCCTGCCCCCACCTCTCTCCCTCATGGGATGTTCCAGCCTGGTCCCCTCCCCGGGCAGGCTTCCTGAATCCTGGCTAGATGGAGCCTGGCTCACCACCCAGCCGCTGGGCCAGAGAGCCCAGCTTCCCGGGGGGCTGCACAGAGTCAGTGTGTAGATAGGGGCCTGGAGTAGAACCGTCAGAGCTGGGGGCTTCTCAGTGGAACCCTGTCTTCCTCTGACCCCGGGTGAGAGCCTTATCAAAGTGCAGTCCTCACAGTGCAAGGAGGGTGGAGACGGGATCAAGGCGATATAGAGTTGCCCCATCCAGTAGGTAGCCATTTAAATCTAAATTACGTCAATCAAAAGAAAAAATTCGGTTCTCAGTTGTGCTGGCCACGTTTCAAATGCTCAATAGCCACACGTGGACGTGAAAATTTCTAGTGGATAGTACTGGGTGGACACTGGTCCCAACCTCACCTGGTCAGTCTCGGGTCTAAAGGGCACCTGTATTCCTGTTGAGCCTGAACAAACAGGTGGGGCCTCTAGGAGACAGGAGCTCTGGGCGTGTTTGCCAAGGGAAATGACGCGGACAGGGGAGCTGGACACATCGTCTCGGGAGCCTCCCTTCTGGGCTGGGGCCAGCAGGGGTGGAGGGAGCCTCTAGGGAGGGCGGGTGCTCAGAGAGCACCCTGTGAGCAGGGGCTACATGGTGGGGTACTTTCTAGGGTCCGGGCCAAAAAAGCGCCTGCCGGGGGATGTCCAGCCGGATCACGCAGGGGCAGAGGCAAGGGGGAGGGCTCCTGCTGGCCCACAGGAGGTGGCAGCCGCTTGAGTACCAGAAGGTCCTGCCGCTTCCCAGGCTGGCGGCGCCCAGCCCAGCCCACCTCCGGGCCCACACTCATTCAGGTCCCTCCTGCCCCCAGGTTGCCTGCAGGAGGGAAGGCAGTGAACACAGCCCCAGTGCCCGGCCAGACGCCCCACGATGAGTCTGACCGCCGGACCGAGCCCCGTTCCTCCGTCTCAGACCTCGTCAACTCCCTCACCAGTGAGATGCTCATGGTGAGAAGAGCGGGGGGCCCGGGGCGGGGGGCGGGGGGTGTGGAGCGTGGGGGTCAGTCATGCAGGAGAATGACCCTGGTGGCCGAGTGAGGCTGCCTGCGTCCTTCTCCAGCTCTTTCACCCCAGCAGCCTGTCTGTGCTCCAGTTTCCTCATCTGTCAAGGCAGACCAAGAATCCCCATCCTCCTCCTGTCTCTGGGTAGAGCCAGGGTCTTAGAAAATCTGATACATGATCCTTGGAGGAAAGGCTGGTGGGCCAAAGACTTGGGGAGGAGGTGTCCCCTCTCTTGGAGGGACCGCCCGCTGCATGGAGGCATCAGGTGGCACTCTGGGTATCCCTTCCCAGGGACCCCATTGCTGAGGGCCGGCTGAGGCTCAAAGAGGAAAGGAGAGCAGAACTCCTCTGGTCCTAGTCCTTCTGTGGACCCTACCCTCCTGGGATCCCAGCCCTTGTGGATCAGATGTGTTTTCGCGAGGGGAGAGGGTGTGGCTTCCCATGGCGCCCCCTGGTGGCGGCAATGAGTCACAGCCATTTGCCCCACCTGCATTTTCCAAAGAGCTCCTTGCAGGGCCCGTGGCCCCAAGGCAAGCCCTCTGTGATTGGGCAGCCGCAGAGGTCAGGCCTGAGTCAGTCAAAGCTTTGGCAGCCCAGAAGTCCCGGGAAGGCTTGGCGAGGACCTGAGGGTGGGAACCCAGTGTCTGCTAGATTCCTAGTGGGGACAAATCATTTCCCATCCCTAGACCTGGGTACCCCTCCCGCCTCCCCTTAGCTCCTCCCTATCTTCCCTGTCCCTCCTGTAGAGAGAGAGGAAAGGGGGCTTGGTGGGCTCCTGGGCCCTTGCTAGACCTGACATGATTCAAGTCAGTGTTCCCTTGCCCACCATTCTGACACTGCACTCCCCACCTTCCCAGAGGCCCCTGGAGACCCAGGCCCCACCCTCCTGCCATTTAGGCTTCTGGTTGGCTCAAACTATCCATCCACACTCCCCTTTTCTAGATTGTGATAGGCACACACATCATTGGGACATCTTGTTAAAATGCAGATTCCCAGTCAGCAGGCCTGCTAGGGGCCCAAGTCTGCATTTCTCTGGAATACAGACTAGGGTATCAGATTTTTCAACATTCCAGATCTGAGCTTCCTTCGGCCTCTCACCTGGCCCCTTCTTCCTGCGCGCCCTGAGCGCCGCCTGCCTGATCCTCCACCACCTTCCTGCCTGTCTTCCCCCACCCATGTAGATCAGCATGGCCTTCCTCTCCTCTGGACGGGCCTTCGGCACAGTCCATCCTGCCTCCCTGCACAGCCTCTTAATTGGTTCCAGCTTCCTGGTAGCCAGGTTCCCAGAAGGGACGGCCCTTTCCCAGCCAGCTCGCCTACCCCTTCCTGCCTCCAGGGAGGGGCCGGCAGCCTCAGGCAGAAGAAGGAGTGCAGGCCCCAGAGCCCTCTCACGTGCTCAGCGGATGCTCAGAGGTGGGCAGGCAGGGTCTAATTGCCTAGCCTTAGGCCACAGCTGGGTCACTGGCATTAGCAGTGATGATGAAGATGAATAGGACAGAAGGAAACCAGGCCCCAGGCTGATCTCCAGGTCCCAGACTGTCCAAAGCTCAGGAGTCAGAAAACAAGTCGGGCACCCAATATAGACTTTTGGACAAAGGGACTGAGGGGAAGGGGTCAGAGAGGAGGCCTAGCCATACCCCCATCTGGGTAACCCATCTGGGTTACTCCTGCTTGCTTACTTCTACCAGAGCTGGGTTTGAGGTAGCACCTCCTCCATCCCTTGGTGGGGAGGGCGGGGGTGGGCAGGTGGTGGCTAGCTTGGTTGCCATGGAAACAGATCCAGGAGCTGCCCCAGCTGGTTAATCAGGGCTCAGGGCTGTAGTTTGGGAAGACTGGCAGTGGGCACAGAGCCACTGCCCACTTCTGAGGTGAAGTCACTGGCCCAGGTTAAGCCTCTCAGCCTAGACCACCCTGTTTGAGAACCAGAATCCAAATAACCAGACGAGGTGGGGCTGGGGTCACCTGCACTCCGGTCACCAGGGTCTTCACCCCAATTTTAGAAGGCATGGGGAGAGGCGAGTGGTCCTGGAAGGGACTGCCTGCCCCAGGCTCTCAGTCCATGGCCAGCAGTGGCAGGGGCCAGGCTGTGGCCAGGACCACAGAAGGGTCCCTTTAACCTTTCCTGGAACCCCATAACATAGGTCTGTCTCATGGTCCCACTCTATAGATGCAAAAACAGATTCAGAGGGAGTGGGACCAGTAGGAGGAGAAGGAAGGAGCTCCCGGGGAAAACTGGACTTGAGTTGGAAAGCCAGATTCTCAGCAGGCCTGGATGGAGCTTGCACAGGGCTGCCTGGATCCGGCCAAGGGGTGGGGCTGGGGGGACCCACTTCTGCTGTGAGAAGAGCAGGGGAGGCAGCTCCACCCTGCTCCCACCTCCAGGCAGGACCAGGGGTGTGGCTGGTGAAGCCCCAGACACTGGATCTGAGTGTGAGAGTGAGGGCAGCTGGAAGGGCATTATTCATGATGGCCGAGCACTGACCTGGGTTCGAATTCTGGCTCATCACTTAGTCACAGGCTGCTTGAGGCAGTAATCTCTGTGCCCCAAACCAGACTAGAGCCCGGCAGTGTCTGCTCCATCAGGAAGCTGGAGGGAGTAGCTGAGGGCACAGCAAACAGGACTGGGCCCAGGGTGGTCACTGTTGGTGAGATCTGGGTGCCTCTCACCTGCGGCAGGGGAGTCCACACACTGGCTTGAGAGGGGGTGGTGGGAGAGTCTCAAAATCACCCTGGGATGTGGGCCTGCTCTGGTGGAAAGAGTGGACTTTCAAGTCAGAGAGAATCCATACTGCTATGCAATCTTGGACTTGTGACTTAACCTCTTTGAGCCAGTCTCCTCAGCTAGAGAGTGGTCATAACTACCTCTCCCGGCTGTTGTCAGGATTCAGCAAGAAGGTGATGTAAGAGACTTCCACCGCGGTCAGTGCAGATCATACCCATTTGTGTCACCTGTATTAGTGGTTCAGAGCCTGGGGCTGCTCCAGGAGGAAGGAGGGGGCACAGGAAAGTCTTCTGCAGGGGAAGGAGGGAAATCAAACTAGTTCCAGCAGTTTTGTCTTAAATGTGGTACCCTGGGCCCCACCCTGGCTCTTAATCACCTCAGACGCTTTTAGAGACAGGAATTGTTATTGTTCAGTTGCTGAGTCGTGTCCAGTTCTTTTGCAACCCCATGGACCGTAGCCCACCAGGCTCCTCTGTCCATGGGATTCTCCAGGCAAGAACACTAGAGTGGGTTGCCATTTCCTTCTGCAGGGGGTCTTCCCGAGCCAGGGATCGAACTCGGGTCTCTGGCACTGGCAGGCAGATTCTTTACTACTGAGCCACCTGGGAAGCCCAGAGACAGGAATGCCTGGACCGTGTGGATCCCTGGGTCAGGGGTGGGATCTAGGATAGGACCCAGGCAAGGACGCAGGTGGCTGGGGGAAGGGCATGATTCTGAAACCTAAACAGGTCTCCCCAGTGAGCAACCACGGCCGGGAACACTTGGCTGAGAGACCTTCCCCCAGTTACTTCCCACTTTTTCGACTTCCTCCGGGGCATGGGCCACCCATGCCACCCCCCACATCTGTTGGTTGCTGGGTTGGCCCAGCCAAATGCCAGCCCCGGGGATGAGGACCGAATGCAGGTGCGGCCCCCTCTGCAGCCATCCGGGCGCAGTACTGTCATCCGAGGCTCCTAGGGAAAAACGCTGCCGCCGAGGCCCACCCCAGCCCCCAAAACAGGAGGCTCCCCAGGGATGCGGCCTGGGAATCTGCACTTTGCATGTCCCCGCTTTACACAAATAGACATTGCTTCTGAAAATTCACCTCTCTTATTTTGTAAATCTCTTTATCCTCAGAACCCCAGAGAGTCCCTTTCTAAAGAAATGCCGTGGTAAACTCTTTTGAGATGAGAACAATCTCCCTCATCTGTTTTGTAGCCCAGGTTTTTGCGTTGGTGTAGTTCACAGGGGGCCCTCCCGTAGGGCTGATGGAAGGGAGGAAAGGAGGAGGAGGGACCTGGGGTCCCAGGGCACACCAGGGGAGGCGAAGCAGCCTGTGGTGAAGCTGGGGGTGGGGGGCAGACCTGGGGCTGCGAGGAGAGGCTGGGGCTGGGGAGTGGGGTGCACACGGCTCTGGGGTTCAGGGGTTGTCCTGGCTCTGCCCCCTCTCCGTGTGTGATCCTGGTCAAGGCACTTGGCTTCCTCACCACCGAGATGTGAGCAGGAGAGGTGCCGCCACCAACCCCACGTGGTGATGGGGCGGGGGCGGAGGCAGCTCTCCGAAGCTGGGCCGGCCTTGGGCACAGGGGGACCTCCCAACCCCACTGGGCTGTGGAGGGGGCCTCGGGGAAGCAGAATTCCCCCCAACGCTGCCTGCCTCTCCCCTGCCCCCAGCTCTCCCCAGGCTCCGAGGAAGACGAGGCCCACGAGGGCTGTAGCCGAGAGAACCTGGGCCGGATCCAGTTCAGCGTCGGCTACAACTTCCAGGAGTCCACGCTCACCGTGAAGATCATGAAGGCCCAGGAGTTGCCGGCCAAGGACTTCAGTGGCACCAGCGACCCCTTCGTCAAGATCTACCTGCTGCCAGACAAGAAGCACAAGTTGGAGACCAAGGTGAAGCGGAAGAACCTGAACCCCCACTGGAACGAGACCTTCCTCTTCGAAGGTGAGGCCGTGCCGCCCCCGCCCCCAGAGTCCCCTCTTCCCCTTGGCTGTCCCCCACACTGCCCAGGCACACACACACACAGATGACCACATGCACAAACACACTTGTACAGATACACACACACACAGGCCTAGTAGCTCAGCCCAGTTACCCTGATGCATTTCATGTCCGGCTGGGATGAGGTTACAGGGCTGAGTGGAGCCAGCATCACAGCCAGAGGGCAAGGAGGAAAGCTGGGCCACTGCCCGGACCCAGGACCCATCCTCAGGCATGCAGGAAGGAGGGGAGGTAACCGCAGGATCCAGAGGAGGAACACCTGCAATGACCATAGTGTAGGGAGTAAGAACCCAGGCTGTGGCCCAGGCTGCCTGAGTTCAAATCTCAGCTCGGCTGCTTGCTAGCTGTGTGACCTGGGGGAGGTTCCTAAACCTCTCTGTGCCATGGTTTCCCCATCTGTAAAATGAAGATAATAGTGAGGGTTAAACAAAATCAGCGAATGGTAAAAGCACTCACAACACCCAGAAAACACTTCATATCCGTTTGTTAAACACCCTTTGGCCGTGTGACAGCCAGCTCACCCACTAAATAATTCCTTCAGGGTGAGCTAGTGGGGGCTTGTTTGTTTCTCCCCTCCTCAGTTCTGCATGGGGTCCTCAGTTCTGCATGGGGTCCTCAGTTCTGCATGGGGGCCCGTTTAGAGACGGCATAACCAGTGAGAGGCTCAGCTGTCTGCTGGTGTAGGTGGCCAGCTGGTCGGGTGAAGTTTAAGGGCAGAGCCTCAATCCACTGATCCCTTCTGCAAACATTTACCCAGCATCAACTATGGGCTGGGCACTGTCCTGGGCACTAAGGGTACAGAATGAGGCACCATTATGACCCTTAAGGCATTGCTTGGAAAACACAGATGTGTAGATAATTAAACCATACATTGCATGGCAGATGCTGCAAGACTCCAATGTAAACTCCTGTTGGTGACACTGAAAACTTTCTCAGAGGCAGGGTCATTCATAATGGGTTTTGATGGATGAATAGGAGTTTTCCAGATAGGAGGCTGGTGTTGAAGAGAGCTGACTCAGGTTCAGGGACTTCTTTGAGCCTTCAACATTTCCAGTACACTTGTCTGCATGCATTTCACCAAAACAGATGCCAAAGGTCACCTAGGGAATTCCCTGGAAGTCCAGTGGTTAGGACTCCATGCTTTCACTGGTAAGGACCTGGGGTCCAATTCCTGGTTAGGGAACTAAGATCCCATAAACTGCATGGTGAGGCAAAAACAGTCACTTGAACAGGTGCCTGGGGTACTCCAAAGTGAGCAAGACACAGCCCATGGCCCCCCTTGATATGGGCCCCCTCTCAAGAATTCAGAAGCTGGAGTCTCAAGGGACAAAGAATTTCCTCCTCGAGTGCACGTGTTCCTATCAGAGGCAACTCTGTGCTTCTTGCATCTTTGGTGGAAGGCACTAGAATCCTGCAGAACTCTTCCTCTCCCTTCATCTTCTCCACCAGCTGAGCCAAGATCTTAAGTATTCTCTCTCCTTCCTGCTCACACCCTGGTTCAGGATCGCATCTCCTGAGGCCTCCAGGCTGGCCCACACCCCTGGCCCTCCCAGGTCAGCTATCAGCTCTTCCTCCTACTAAGCCTCCCAAAGCCCAGTGACTGTCAGGCTTCAGACCTTCCTCTGGCTCCCCAGTATCTTCCATCTTGTCCCAGCGCCTTGCCCTGGCCCTCCGCTCTGGCCTGAGGTTCTTTTCCAGCCCGGAACACTCCAGCTGTTCCATCAGGCCCTTTCACGGGCATTTGTTCAATGATTGATTCGCTTAACAAATATTTAATCGAGTGCCTACTACAGTATGCCAGAAATGGTGTTAGACGCTGGGATCCGGTGGTGGCTGAGGACAAAGATGCCTTCCTGGAAATTCTAGCCTACTGGGAAAGCCAGACTCAAGGAAACATAAATCTCTAGTGCAGCCTGTGATAAGTGCTGCGAAAGGAATGGGCTAGTGTATAAAACAGGAGATCCGAGCCCCTCTGGGACGTTGGGAAAGAAAGCTGAGACCTGACGGGAGAGGATAGGCTGAGACACGGCGTGGTGGGGCCAGGGCAAGAAAAGCCAGGGTGGCTGGAGCCCAGTCATTGAGTGAAGAGCGGTCATGAGGTGAGCTGGGAGAGGACAGCGGGCCAAATTATAGAAGGACTTGAAGCCGTGGCAGGGCACCCGGCTTTTATCCTAAGTGCACTGGGAGCCATTGAAAGGCTTTAAGCCGGAGAGTATCATGATGTGATTTCTATTTTTAAAAGCTCACTCTGGCTGCTGTGTTGAGAATGGGCTCTAGGAGAAAGCTCACGAGCAGGGAGGGCTGTTTGGAGACTCTTGTGACTGTCTGGGCAAGAGGTGACAGTGGCTTGGACGGGAAGGTGGCAGTGGAGACCGGGATGCTGCTGATCTGTTGAGGAAGGACGGAAGGACAGAAGGACGGAAGGATGGGCTGATGCATTCGCGGGACGGAAGGACAGAAGGACGGAAGGATGGGCTGATGCATTCGCGGGAGGCTAGGGCGAAAACGCAGAGTCCTGAGACAGGTGTCTGGTGCTGTTTCTCCACGTTTGCCATTTCCCTCTGTCCTGTGTCCTCCTGGGTCTTGCTTTCTGGCAGCTCTGGCCATCTCAGGCAGGGCCACATGCCCAGGCTTGTCTCAGGATGATTGGCAGCAGCAGGACTGCCCAGAAGGCAAGGGGGGCCACTGCCCGGCTGCCAGGATGGACTCGTGATGAACGAGTGAATGAATGGTCTGCTCCTGATTAGCTGTGGGTCTTTGGGCCGATAATGTAAGCCATCTGAGCATCAGTCTCCTCATCTGTAAAATGGACACGATACCATCCACCACACAGAACTGTCCAGGGAGACAGAGGAGACGGTCCTTGCTGAGACTCAGGGAGGTCTGAGTGCACATGTTCCTGCCCCAGAGCGCTGCCCCGCCTGGGCTCCCTGTGGCCGCTCCGCCCTGCTCCTCACCTGCACTGTCTGCCCCCAGGTTTCCCCTACGAGAAGGTGGTGCAGAGGGTCCTCTACCTCCAGGTCCTGGACTATGACCGCTTCAGCCGCAACGACCCCATCGGGGAGGTGTCCATCCCCCTCAACAAGGTGGACCTGACCCAGATGCAGACCTTCTGGAAGGATCTGAAGCCATGCAGCGATGGGAGTGTAAGGCCCTACCTGCAGGTCCCTGGCTGGGGAGCTAACAGACCAGGTCCTGGTTGTTGTTCAGCTCAGTTCGGAGTCACGTATGACTCTTTATAACCCCGTGGCCTCCAGCCCGCCACTCTTCCCTGTCCTTCACTATCTCCCAGAGTTTGCTGAAACTCATGTCCATTGAGTCTGTGATGCTTGCGACCTCATGGACTGTAGCCCACCAGGCTGTCCATGGAATTCCCCGGGCAAGAATACTGGAGTGGGTTGCCATTCCCTTCTCCAGGGAATCTTCCCCACCCAGAGATTGAACCTACACTTCCTGTCTTGCACTGCAGGGGGGTTCTTTACCATCTGAGCCACCGGGGAAGTCCAGATGGGGTCCTAGTCCCTCCTCAATGGAAGGGAATCAGGAAGGTTGTGGGCGGGGTGGGTCGGTGGGGCCTGGCAGACCCGAGTTCCCACCAGCCGTCTCAAGGCCAGTGCCAGTGCTCAGCACTTGGGGAGCCTGGGCAGTGATAGAGAGCCTGGGGAGCAGGGCCCAGAACTGCCAGATGAAGGGAAACCAGCTATGCAGCTGTGATGGGGGGGTGGGTAAGCACCCAGGTGCAAGGGGAGGGGTCCCCTGGTCCCCACGGCCCTCTTGTTCTCCCTCTCAGGGGAGCCGAGGCGAGCTGCTCCTGTCTCTCTGCTACAACCCCTCTGCCAACTCCATCATCGTGAACATCATCAAAGCCCGGAACCTCAAAGCCATGGACATCGGGGGCACGTCAGGTGCTGGCGCCTCTCACAGCCAGGGGCGGACGGGCCAGGGGGCTTCTGGTGCACACGAGTCATGCTGGATGTGAACAGCAGGGTCCTGGCTGTGGGCTTCACCCCCGACCCCCAGGCCCCACCTCCAGTCCCCACGCCTTTACGCTAGAGCCCTGGTGGCCGCTTTTGGAGTACCCCCAGGGTCAGCATCATCTTGAACTCTGCCCTGCTCAGGATCGGGAAGAAAGTGAACACGATGGTGGGGGGGACTTGGGTTCTAGCCCCAGCTCCGACATGTCTTATCTGTGACCTCGAGTGAGACCTGGGCCTCTCAGTCTTCCCGTTTGTGTCCCCAGAAGGGCGCTAGGCAATGGCCACAGTCCCTGGCAGCTCCTCCATCTGCTGATGCCCCCGGTCCCCCCACCTCGCTTCATCCTTGGGCTTTCCTCACCCCGCAGGGAAAGTGCACAGCCCTTCCTGCCCGAGCTTCCCCTCTCCACTCTGACCCTTCCCCCTGGTGTCCCCCAGACCCCTACGTGAAGGTGTGGCTGATGTACAAGGACAAGCGGGTGGAGAAGAAGAAGACGGTGACGATGAAGAGGAACCTTAACCCCATCTTCAACGAGTCCTTTGCCTTCGACATCCCCACGGAGAAACTGAGGGAGACGACCATCATTATCACTGTCATGGACAAGGACAAGCTCAGCCGCAACGACGTCATTGGCAAGGTAGGAGGGGGAGCGCCTGGCAAGGGTGTGTCCTTAAAAGGAGCTGCCGGGGGTAGTGAGTGAGTGCAGGGCTGGACAGCAGGAGGGAGAGGGGGTCGGTCTCTCTGTTTTCATCTGAAAAGGAGAGGATTGGTCGAGATTTGCCCCTCAGCGTCCTCCCATGGGTCCATCAGTTCAGGACAGACCACTGGAGGAGCAGGGAAAGAAGGAAATGATAGGGAAAAGTGTCCTGGGTTCCCCAAAGAGGGTTTTCTGGGCAGGACCCTCTGACAGTGTAAATCAGTGTCGCCCTGGGTTCTGCCTGCAGAGGGTGAGCAGCCTGGGGCTTGCGTTGAGAGCTGTAGTCAGGCTCCAAAGACCTGGCTTCGGTTCCTCCCTCCTCTGCTCTTCCACAGCTGTAGGACCTTGCCTCTCTGAGCCTCAGTGTTCTCGTTTGCAAAATGGAGCTTTGCAGGGTATTGGAAGAACCGCCTGAGGCATGTGGACATTCCCCTTGCAGAAACTGACCTCTCTTTATCATATACTAACCGAAAGTCCATGCCTGGCCTTGAGTTTTTCCAGGATACAATTCTGTACCGTAAACCCATCTCTCTTCTACTTTGAAATGTCTATTCCGTTGTTTGGCTATGGCTTAGTGTTGGGAGTGTGGGCTTGAGAGTCATCCTCCCTGGATCCAGGGCCCAGTTTTACCTCTTGACAGTCATAACGTTTATGAGCCTCATTTTTTTTCTTGAAATGAGAGTAAGACAAACCTAGCCTCACAGGGTGCTGGGAGGATTAAATAACACAGTCAAGATGCTTAACACAGCACATAGAACATGTATGTTAGCTATTATCGTAATGAAGGTTATTACTGAAAAGTTCCCAGTTAGGGCACGGGTGTCCAATCAGGCATGGAGATTTGACCAGGAACAGTGCAGGAAGTTGGTTGATCAGGTAGGTATGGGGAAGGGAAGATGCCAGGAGCAAGTGAGGGAAGAACGTGGGTCACCCAGGGGGATGGCCCAGTATGAGGGAAATGGGAAGTGGCCTGGGCACCCACAGGGAAGGGGGCCGAGGTGGAGGCACCCCTCAGACAGACAGGAATGGAGAACCTAGCTACTGGAGGTGGGAAGGAAGCAGCTGGCCCAAAGAGGTGAGCTGGCCCCAAAGAGGCGAGCTGGCCCTGCCGGCCATCCAGCAAGGCCCAGGGAGTATGTATGACTTGCTGACCTGTGGTCTCAGGTGGGACGGGTGCCCAGGACAGCATCGCCCACATCCCAGTGGGACCATGAATGCTGAGCCCTTCCTTCACCAGCTTAGTCTTTTCTCAAGCTTAGCCTTTTGGAGTTGGGTGAGTCCTACCTTCTGCTGGCTGAACCGAGATAAAGGTGGATTTGTTCTTCCTTTGGCCCAGGTAGCTTAGGGAGCCCTATGCTCTGAGCTAACCACCAGTCACAAGGCTGAGCTTAGCCAGGGGACCACACACACAGCCCCCCTGAGGCTGTGAAGCTTCTAACATGGAGGCAGGTAGGATTAGGTTGATAGTATAAAGTCCACGGGGTCTCCAAGACTCAGACACATCTGAGTGACTGAACAACAACAAATGAATCCCCAAAGACCTAGATTTAAATCCCTCTGCATCACTCATAAATCCTGTGACTATGGGTCAGTTTCTCCATCTGTAAAATGGAGATAATCACATACCTGCCTCACCGGGAAGGATTTGATGATCTGTGTATGCAAAGTCCCTAGCTCAGTGCCTGGCAGGTAGTAAGTGCCTATGAAGTGTGGGAGTGTTTGTTAGACATTGCCCAGCAGGTAGGTGGGGGAAGGGCGTGGGAGAATCCTGCCTCCATCCGCATCCATCTCCCACCACAAAACTGGCTGGGAGTTTAATTCGAAAAGGCCAGGCACACCCAGGCTCCCAAGGGAAAGCATAATAAGGAAGATAGGTCAGGCTGGTGGGGTGGGGTGGGTGGGAAAGGAGGGACCTCTGTAGAGTAGGTTGTCACTGCAGGCAGAGACCCCCTTGGTCCCCACGATCACAAGCTAGGGTGTCACTGTGGACATGGTGTGTCACCACCAGTGGGGGAAGGGGCAGGGCCTCAGAGGGTGCCACTAACGCCTCCTCTTCCATCTCTCCCCAGATCTACCTGTCCTGGAAGAGTGGGCCCGGGGAGGTGAAACACTGGAAGGACATGATTGCCCGGCCCCGGCAGCCTGTGGCCCAGTGGCACCAGCTGAAGGCCTGAATGGGGCCAAGGGAGCCCCAGGGGGCCAAGGGCCCGGGTCCCCATCATGCCCTCACCACTTTATGCACAAGGCCCGGCTTGGCCCGCCCCCAACCACGGGTGAGGGAAGGATCCCGAGGGCTCGGCCAGGGAGAGGTCCCAGGAACCAGTCGGGCCCTGCTTCTAGGGAGCACCAGCCCCATTCCCCACCGGTCCAGCTCTGGGGGAGGGGCTCTGGGAGCCATTTTCCTGCTTTGCCCCTTTCCTTCCTGACTTGCTGATACTCAAGAAGCGGGGAGGTGAGCTTGAGAGCCAGAGGGCAGATCCCTCCAGAGGCCCGCCAGGTGGGCACGGTCCCCCCGTTTTCTTTAAGGCAGCGCCTGGAGTGGAGGAAGGCCGCCCCCTCCCCCGCCCCCAACGTGGGCCCAGGAGAGGGGAGGCAAGGCGTTTGGCCCCGGCCTGGCCTGACCGAGAGAGAGGCCTGTTCCAGGGCAGTTTCAGGAGCCGGCTGGGCCCTGAATGCCGAGGATAGTATATAGCCTGCTCCGGGGGTCCTGGAGCCTCAGCCCTGTGTACTTGTGTTGTATCCACCGTGCGTGTGTAATGTGTGTGTGTGCGCGTGCACATGTGGGGGTGGCAGCACGCGCTCCCTGTGTCCCTGGGGCCCACGTGCTGAAGACAATGCAGAGAGGACAGGGTTATGACCCGAGGCGGGCTGGAGGCTTGAGAAGTCAAGGCGCAGAGCTAGGGAGTGGGAGAGGAGAGGCAAGTGAGGAGGGGATGAGGTGAGGCAGGGATGGAGGAAGAGGGGGTTGGGGAAGAGGGGCAGAGAGGAGCTGGGCTGCGACCCGGGCTCTGTCCTCCTCCCGCCTACCCAGAGCTCTCCACCAGCTCCCTCCCCAACAATGTCATCTCTTGAGCATCTGTTCATGCCTTTTAGGCACCCACTGTGTATATCACATTCCACCTCTGCTCCTTTCTGCCTCAGGGGTCCCAAGTCTCCACTAGCTCTCTTCCCTAACATCCCCATCCAAAGACACCCTCCCACGTCCCAGTTGTCACATCCCAGCCACACTAGCAGCCCTCACCACGCCTTCCAGCATCCTTCCCCTTCCTCCTCTCTGTCTGCAGACCTCCCTGCCACACACATCCCCGCTCTCCTCCATCCCACCCCACGCCCCCACCCCCGCTCAGAGACCTTCCCTTTCATTCCACCGTGGCCTCTGTTCTTGCATCACCTGAACAGCTCCAGGGCTGTCCTCCCACCTTTCCCACCGCCCCTGGTCCCTCAGAGCAGCTCCTTCTACCCCTCGGTTCAGGCAGAGGAAGCAGAGAGCATTCCCGGATTCTGTGAGTTTTGAGGTTGCCCTCCTCCCCCACAAAGAAGCTGTGGTTTCCCTGCCTCCGCGGCTGCAGAGACCAGAACTGGCAGCCCCACGGAGAGAGAAGATTTCAGGATGATCCCTGCTTAAGCCCCCTCATCCCCACGTGTGTCCCGGTGTTGATACAAGAGAGCTGGCGACCGCCTTCGAATCCCGGGGTTCGCGCGCTTGCGCCTGACATTCCCAGAAGATGCCGCCAGGTGGCGCCCGCACACCACGGTCTGTGGACGAGGCCTAGGACCACGGCTCTACCCCAAAATGGGTCTGACACCCCAGGAAAGGAGACTCTGGAAAAGGTCCCCCACTTCGCACTGCAAAAGCATGGGCAGTTGGGAACCATGTTCCTTAAGTAGACTTCCCTTTGAGCTGAGCGTTCTGCTCACATTTTTGCCCATATCAAAAGTTTCTTACATAAACTCTCACGCCTTCGGCCCTACCCTTGACCCCAAGGATCTGGAGGAATATCATACAAAGTAAGTGAATCATTTTGTAGAGTGAAGAGTGCTAACGTAAAGCAAGTAGTCACACACATTCCTTGTAAATCCCAATTTTTCTATATTGTAGCTTTGCTTAAAATGGGGGTCTGCCCTCATGGCACGGCCCTTATCGGGCAGGCCGGGGGAACCAACCCCCAGCGGGGAGGGAGGGCAGCGGCTCCGGAGACAGTGGAAGCGAAGAAAAGTTGCTGTTGGAAGCTCTGGGAAGCGGAGGGGCTCTGCCAGCCTCCATCCCGCCCTCAAATCCTGTGCCCCTGCACCCCGAGGCCGGTGGGAGAGCAAGCCCCGCCCCGGGTCCCCTTGCCTACGACCGAGCTCTCGGGAATTGGACCAACTAGCACTGAGCGGGCGGGGCAACTGGGTCCCCGTTTTCCGAGCCCCGCCCACGAAGCTCTTAGCCAATCACATGCAGAGAGCATCACCGGGCCCTGCCTATTCCAAACCTGACCGCACCCAGGGTCGCGCAGCCATGAACCCCGCCTGGGGTACTCCAACCCCGACGTGCAGCCTGAGCTCTGGGGCGCGGGGGAGGGGTGGCAAGCGGCGGGCCAAGGGCAAGGTGGGCTAGCAAGGGAAGAGGCGGGAGGTATGGGTGAGGGCGGGGGAGGTCTAAGGCTTTAGGGAACAGAGAAAGGGGGAAGTTGAGGGTGGAGGGAGGGCACTGCCCTGTCACCATCCTAGGACCTTGGACAGATCACCCACACTCCCGGGGCCTCAGTTTCCCCATCTGTAAAATGATGGTAATAATACTTCACCTACCTCATGGGGGAGGTTGTAAGGCCGCCGTCACCTGACCTGGGGGTGGAGGCAGGAGGATTCTGAAGGTGCTACCCGCGAGCAAAGTATTATTACCGCAACCTGAAGGCAAGGCCCGCCTGCCCCTCCCGCACAGAGCCTCCAGAGATAGCTGAGGCCGGCCCGGGCCCACCTATCTCTTCTCCACTGTGTCCCTCCTCCCTTCTTGAGCGTCATCCACCATCTTTGTGGGCACCCTAGAGTTAGTCGTTATCTTGTTCAGGTATCCTTTCTTGTGACCATCACCCCACGTAACTGCTGTATAAATTCCACCTGCCCCAGGACCCCGCACCTGCCCACCGGCGCTAGACGCCAGGGAAGGGACCAGGAAAACAGCCACACAAAAAGCCAAGGGGAGTCCCCAGAGTCCCCAGTCCTGCTGGGGCCCCAGGGGTGGGGATTGGTGGTTTCTGTTTGTATTGTGTTTGAGTCCTTGAGCGCAAGTGTTTTATAAAAAACAAAACAAAACAAAAAAAACTACAACAAAAACCCACCGTCACAAAAAAAAAAAAAAAATTGCAGCGAAGAGAAATGAAGAAAAACTGAAGAAAAAAGGGGGGGAAAAAAACATACAAAATTTTTCCACCACATGCACCCTCTAAGCCAGCAAGATTTCCTCTTTGCAAAATCATATTTTTGTGGGGATGGGCCCTGCTTTTTGTGGCAAGGCCCATTCTAATTAATAAAGGATCGTGAAAAAGTAGGGCCTTGGCTGTTTCCTCCGTGGGTCCTAGCCTCCGCTATCTCCCAGGGGAAGAGGAAGTGGGGGATGGGGATGGGGAGCCTGGGGCCAAGTCTCCCCTCACCTGTCACCTTTGGGATTCGGCTTCACTTGATGAGGCCCTTCTAGCCTATCTCCAGGTTGAGAGTATGAACCCACCAGCTACCCAGAAAGCCAGGAAGCAGCCATACCCCCTGGATCAAGCCTAAAGCGAGGCTTATTGGGAGTGGAGTCTCCTTAGGGCTTACAGGGTGCCCCTCTAGTTCACCCAGCCCAACACCCCCTCCCCACAGTTCCCAGGGGACCCTCACCACCCTCCATGCCAGGTGAGACAAACCAAAGGGAGACTCTTCACCTCCCCCACCACCAACGTGAACTCCGACAGGGCCACTGTGGTTTCAGACCAATGTGTCCTCTCTGTGTTCCCTGTGGAGTTCTGGGTCTGTTGCCTGGACCGGAGCCTTCTCTCCACCCTTTTCTGGTTTCATCCTTTAGGATTAGAGAAGTCTCAACTCAAAAGCGCCCAAGGCAAGTCCCAGCCTGAGGACCTGGGAAGCTGGGCCCCAGTAGACACAGAGGCCCCAGGGCAAGCTGTTTCCTTCCTCCTGGTCTGAGTTCCCTCCATCCACAGAAGAGCAATAACCATCCCTGCCCTTTCTCCTTCCCTCCTGCACACAGCCCAGGGGAAACTGAGGCTTGGCAGCTCTCCAGGTGCTTTCAGAAGGAAAGTGCTACACCTTTTATGGGCACACAGGCAAGGAGAGCCCTCCATTGTCGTGTGTCCACCCGCTGGCCCCTGCCCACTCCTACTAGAGGGGTCACCTCATCTCTTGCTCCCCCGCACCTGGGGCTGGCAGCTTTCTCCTCACTCTGCACTAGTACTCCCACCTGAAGCTGCCCACCCTCTCCCCTTCTGTCCCATAGTGACAATACGGTTTAAATGTCTCTGGTTCAGAGGTTGGAGGGAGCCCTAGGGTCAGGTAAGTAAGCCTCACAAGCAGTTCTTGCCAGGACTTCTGCTCGATCTGGAAAAACTAGGCTAAAAAGCAGGACAGCTCGGCCCAGCAGAGGTGACAGCCCCTTGCCGTGGGCTCCAAGCCTCCCTCCTCCTGCATTTCTGTCTTTCTCCTGCCTTCACTTTGTGGGGTTTCTCTTCATCCCTGCCTGCAGAGGCTCCCCCATCCTTCCCTGTGCCTGGGACTGCTGCCCTCTGGTCTCTTTCTCCTGCAAGTCCCTCTTGGATTCCGCTGCTTTCTGGAAGGCCGTCTCAGGCCACGTCCCGCTCTCCTCTCCCTCCCCAACAAAGACAGCCAGAAGGACAAGACTTGAACACGCTGTATGCCCCCTCCATGGCTCCCTGCCCACCTGTCTCCCTTGAAGATGCTCCGCTCCCCGTGTCTGTGTCCTGTGTGTTTGTGCTGTGTCACCTTTAGATTGTGAGCCCCACCCCCGGGGCAGGGACCCCTGTCTGAATACATGTTCTGCGTGGCACACTCGGGTGTGCTAATAAATGTCCATTCTGAGAACAAGAGTGCCCCGGTGTCTGAAGGAAGCTTTGGGGCGAAGGCTGAGCAAGCCCATGTGATGGCACTAAAGCAAGGGAGGTGCTTGTGGGCAGGGCCCCCAGTTTCTGAGCACCCTGTTCTCCTGCTTTCTGAAGCGGGAAGAGGGGGATGGTGGTAATGAATCCAGGAAGACATCCAGTCTCTGCTGCTCTGCCGGCTGGGAGGGCTGGCTGTTGGGGGGCTCCGAGAGGGAGAGAGACTATGATTCCCACACCCAGACCTGACCACCAGCCACAGGCAGGTAGCATCTGCCGTGGCTCGGACTGAGCACTGGGTTAGGAGGCCTAACATCCATTTATGGGCAAGTCACTTACCTCCCTGGGCCTGCTCCTTGCCCTGTTGCTGCCTCTGCTCTTGTCTCATCACCATCCCCACAGCCTGCCTCTGCCCTGCATCCCTGGCACTAACACAACTCTTCCGGGGCTTCCCTGCCCTGCTCGCCCACGATCCACCCACCCCTGACTGTCCCCCCAACAATGTGGGGAACCAGTGACCTGGCCATTGTTACAAGTGCCCTTATAAAAATCATNCCAGGGAGACGGAAGGAGGGAAGAATAGTCACAGATGGGGAGGAACAGGGTTAGTACCAGTGAAAGAATAGAGAAAGGTCAGCCCAGCCTGAGATTCAAAAATATATTAAGAGTCAGGAACGAAGCTGGAGAAGACCGGGGAGGGGAGGCTGGGGGTGGGTGGGGGGCAGTGGCCAGGTGGCAGAAAGAAACAGCCAGACGGAAGAGCAGTCTCGAGCAGCCAAAGCCATTTGTGACTGAAGACAAGCTCTCCTGCCCCAGACAGGACACAACAGTTGGCTGGGGCCACTGTGACGCAGAGCTGGGGCACATGGACGAAGGGCAGTGCCAGGGGCAGCCCAGAGTCCCCACAGCAACAGGCCCCAGTGCTCCCAGGGCTTATAAATAAACAGGCATGTGGGAAACGCACATTCTTTCTCCAAGAAATATAATTTATGTTTACAGCCAGTTTTCTTTTTTTTTTTTTTTTCTCTCTTCCTAAAGAAAACACCACCATGTGGGGCCCCCGCCCCAGACAGTGTCCCTGAGTGGCCCTGGCCCTGGGCCTTCCTCCCATTATTGCTCAGATGGGAAAGATCTGACCCTGGGAACTACAGAGCAAAGCCTCATTCCTCACCCCCTGGAGGCTGTCCTGGTGACGGAGAGGAGGCACACAGGGCTCGTCCCCTGCCCCGCGCCCTGCCAGCCACCCTGACGCTGCCCTTTTAAGGGAATGGAGAGTCCAGGCGGTGGCTACCCAGGAGCAGCCGCCCAGAGCAGAGAGCCTCTCTCTGGGTGCAGGAGGCCCCGGAGGCACAGTGGCTTCTTTTCAAACCCGACAGCTGGAAGGCTCAGGCCGTGGGGAAGGGAGGACCTGTTCTCTTTGCAGCAAGATTCCGGACACAAGCTGGGAGACGAGAACAGAATAAAAGGCAGGGGCAGAGACCTGGCCTTCTGGCTGCACCCCCACCCCCACCCCTTCCCCACACAAAATTTAGGAAGCCTGGAGAGGGAGGTATGTACCATGAGCCCCGGTGGAGGGGCCAGGGCAGCTGTGGTGTTTCATCCCCAACCCCCAGCTCCCACACCTGTCTGTCCTGGGCACAGGCTCCAGCTCCAAGCCCCCAGCCTGTGCGCTAGGCCTTCTGTTCGAACTTCTGCCTCATGCAGGCATGTGGTCCACCCCAGAGGTAGCGGCTCCTGCGCCAGAAAGGGCGGACCTAGAAGATCCAAACTCTGGGCGGAGGTGGGGGCCCTGGGCATCCAGACTCAGCCGAGGAGATGATTCTGTGGTCAGTGGTGACCCTGGTTCCAGGAAGAAGCTGGTGCTTTTATTGTGTTGTCAGTGACTCTATCAGGGGCCAGACTGAGCTATGGATGGAGGGAGCTGGGACTTCTTGGCCTGACTACCTCCCAGGGACCAGCTGCGAGGCAGTTTTCTCATCACCCTGGAATGTCTGAAGATGGCACCCAGGCCTGCCTGTCCCTATCAGTGTACCCAAACTGACCCCTCCTCTGCCCCCAAGTAGGGACCCACCGTTCCCATGAACCTTCCCGGAACCCCTCCTCCCAGACTGGCCGAAGCACAGGCTCAGGTGCCCAGTCCAGGAGCTGCTTCCAGGGCGCGGAGGCTGTCCCCGGGGGCCCGCAGAGCCCGGGAGCTACCGCCCCCTATGAGCAGGTCTTCTTCTTCCTCATCCTCAAAGGCCCGCGCTGGGCGCCGGGGCGGCGGCCGGGGCGTGGGTTCGTCCCTCTCAGCCATGCGCTCGACGGCGCCCTCGCCCACAAGGAAGACCGTGTCGGCCACGCGTGGGGGGCCAGTGACCGGGTTGTGGTCGTAGGAGAAGACGCGCAGGGCGCGCAGCGGGTGCAGGTCTGGGAAACCGCCCAGGCGGTTGCGGTCTAGGTCGAGGATGTGCAGGCGGCCCATGCGCAACAACGCGGGCGGGAATTCCTCGAAGCGGTTGCCGTAGAGCCAGAGGCCGCGCAGGCCCGTCATGCGCGGCAGCTCCGCGGGCAGCGCGCGCAACCGGTTGTCGCCCATCTGCAGCGACTGCAGCGCCACCAGGCGCAACAACGGCCGCGGAAAGCGCCGCAGGAAGTTGCCCTCGATCCAGAGGCAGCGCAGGCTCTGCAGCTGCGCGAAGTCGGCGGGCAGCGCCAGCAGCCGGTTGCTGCCCAGGTAGAGGCGCGTGAGGCGCGGCAGGCGACAGAGACCGTCGGGCAGGCGCTCGAGTTTGTTGAAGTCAAGCGCCAGGATGCGCAGCTCGCGCAGCTCCTCGATCTCCTCCGGCAGCTCGCGCAGCCCCGTGCCGCTCACGTACAGCTTCTGCAGGCGGCTCAGCGCGCACACTGCGCTGGGCAGCCGCCGCAGCCGTCTCCCGCTCAGCTCCAGCTGCTGCTCGCCGTTGCGCAGTTGCTCCTCGGCGTCCGACGGCAGCTCGTCCGGTTCGGCCGCCCGCCCTCGGGCCTCCGCCGCTCCCTCGGCTGGAGGCCGACTGGTTCGGGTTAGCGCGGATTCTCAGCTTGGAGACCCGTCGCCCTGGCAACCCCCGACGCGCGCGCGGCTGCCAATGAAGTGGAAGGAGTGCGGGGCGGGGCCAAGGTGCAGCTGAATTAGGTCCTGGAGTCCCGGCCCACCGCCCGCTTTCCCACCCGTCGGGCCCCGGAGACAGCACTAACCCAGGAACCCAAGAACCCCGCAAGCCTGGCGCCGTGCCAACACAAGCCCGACGACTGACGCTGTCTACGCTTCCAGCCACAGCGAGCCGTTTGGTGTGCAGTTTGTAGGCGCCCAGAGCTCCAAGTCCAAGAAGGAAGCAAGGACTGAGGAAATGCCGGAGCGCGACCCAGGACTCTGGACAAGTTGGCTCTCCAGGAGGGACTGAGAGGCGAGCTCAATGCCCGCCGTTCTTGTCCAGCGGCGTGCGTCCAGTCTTCCCGCTAGGGTCACGTTAGGGGAGTAACTCAGAACAGTGCTCTTTCTGGGCTTTTTCTGGGTGGGTCACAACTGAGGATCTGGCGGGGACCCAAGCTTGGCTCCGTCCCCTTCCCCGCCGGGTACACCCTCTGCGCGCTGCAGGTTCCCGGTTAGTGCACTCACCCCTTCTCCTGCCGAGTTCCTCCACCTGTGCTCAAGGTCAGTGGGTGACTGCAGTGGACAGAGGACTGGAGCACACGAGCGCCTTTGAGCATCACCAACGGTGACCACACTCGTTCTGTAACGCTTCCTCTTGCACATGCTCTCACCAGCAGCCTTTTTGCCCCTGACTTCCCTCCTACTCCAAGCCCTCCTGCTAGAGCTGCCAGCAGAAACACTCCCTCTGGTTTATTGCCAGCTTCTCATGTGCCCAGCACTGTACTAAAAGCATTGCGTTGAATCCTTGCCACAAACCTATGAGGTAGGTACCCTCACTGCCCTGATTTTAAAGATGGAGAAACTGAGGCTCAGAGAGGTTTGACATGAGTGGGTGACTTGCCCAGGGCTTCCCTGGTGGCTCAGCCGTAAAGAATTCGCCTGCAATGCAGGAGATGCAGGAGACACAGCTTCCATCCCTAGGTCAGGAAGATCCCCTGGAGAAGGGCATGGCAACCCACTCCAGTATTCTTGCCTGGGAAATCCCATGGACAGAGGAGCCTGGTGGGCTACAGTCTGTAGCGTCACACAGAGTCAGACACGACTGAAGTGACTTAGCATGCGCTCATGCACGGGTGACTTGTCCAAGGTCACCCCGCTGGCTAGTGGCTGGGATTTGAAACCAGGCAGGAGACGTCCCTGGCTGTCCAGTGGTTAAGGCTGGCGCTTCCATCGCAGGGGGCATGGGTTCCATTCCTCGTTGGGGAATTAAGATCCCGCATGCCTCACTGCTTGGCCAAAAATAATAATAAATAAAAATAAAACCAGGCAGACTGCCTCTCCAACTTGTGTTCTTAACCATGTGTGTGTGTGTGTGTTCAGCCATGTCCGACTCTTTGTGACCCTATGGACTGTAGCCCGCCAGGCTCCTCTGTCCATGGGACTTCCCAGGCAAGAATACTGAAGTGGGTTGCCATTTCCTTCTCCAGGGGATCTTCCCAACCCAAGGGTCGAACCTACGTCTCTTACATCTCCTTCACTGGCAGGCAGGTTCTTTACCACTAGCGCCACTTGGGAAGCCCCTCTTAGTACTTATGGGATTAAGAATGCCTTTGTCATCAGAATTAGAGGCTCTGCCGTGAGAAAATTCATGGTCAGAAGTGGAGTCGTTTCCATTTATTGGAATAGTCTTAACCATGTACCACTCCAATAAATGGAAATGACTCCACTTCTGACCATGAATTTTCTCATGGCAAAGCCTCTAATTCTGATGGTTATTAATCCCATAAGAAAGATGAGGAAAGTGGCCCCAGAGGGATTAGGCAACTTGCTGAAGGTCGCAGAGTGATGAGAGAGTACAGCCAGGGAGTCAAGTCTGCAGGCGCCAGACCTCCTCCATCCTGCCTTCCCATCTTGGCTGGTGTGATTGTGGGTTGATAATCAGCAGGGGGACTTTCTGATGGTCCAGTGGCTAAGACTCCATGCTTCCAATGGAGGGAGCACAGTTTCCATCCCTGGTCTGGGAACTAGATCCCACATGCCACAACTATGAGTTTGCATGCTGCACCTAAGACCTGGCACAGCCAAGTTAAAAAAAAAAAAAAAAGATAATTGGCCGATGGGACAGACCTCTTGCCCTTTGACCCATCCCCATTTTTTTCCCCACTACAGGCAGGGCAGAAGGCCAGTCCAAGGGCAGATAGCAGTGGCCGATGCAAGAAGATTATGAAAACCACAACCCCTGAAATGTAAGCTGGGCGGGGCAGGCACGCTTGTCTCCTTCCCTGCTGGCACAGGGTCTGGCGCATAGTAGTGGTTCAATGAAAATTGTCAACATTTTAGAAGATGAAGGCAAACTTTACATACCGTGAAATGCCTAGGCCATAAGTATACAGTCTGGTGAGTTCTGACAAATGTAAACATCAAAGAATATTTCCATCACTCAGAGTTCCCTCCCACCTGCCTCTTCCAGATAATCCCCACCTCCCAGAGGCAACGGTGATCCTGACCTCCATCATCATGGATCAGGTCTGCCTGCTCTTGAATTCCATACAAATGGAATTATTCCGTGTGTACTTTTTTTTTTTTTTTTTTTTTTTGCTCCTGGCATCTTTTGCTCAGATGCTTGATATCTATGTGTTGGATAAAGGAACTAGAGGGCAGAGCAATAGCAGTTGTAATCAGGCGAGGGATGTCACAGGGCGAACAGGTGCTGGGGAACACAGGCAGGTATTGCTCTGAGCCAGGAGCTAGCCTCGGATCACTGCCCTGGAATGAAGACTAGCAAGATGCGAGCTGAGGGAGAGGAACCAGGCAGAGGATAAGTGGGGCGCAGACACCAGATCTGGGATGGAGGAGGATTCTGAGCCCCAGGCAGCGGGATTTCAAGCTCCTTCTGGATCTCCCCTAAGCCCCTAACCAACTCTCTCTCTTCTACTCATTTGGGAGAACTTCCAGGAAGAGCTGACACCTCAGAGACCAGGAAAACCCAGCCAGGCAGCTGGGACAAGAAAGAGCGCCTCCCCATCCCATCCCACCTCCTACTGCCACCCCCACCCCCGCCAACAGTTTCCCCAAGGGAACATGTGCTGTGGAGGAGGGAGCCCAGCCAGCCCCCCTCACCACATGCTCGGGGCTGGCGCTGCAGCACCCGGCAGCCCTCTTGGGCTCTGCCAGCACGGCGGGACCCCCGAGCCCCTGCCACCCCAGCCCCAGCCTTGGCAGAGCTTCCTGGGCTCAAGGGTACAGGGGACCAGCCCTCTCCTTTGTCTCTCTCTCGCTCTTGGTAGATGCTGTACCTTCGCCTCCTACCAGGCCCTTCTCAGTGGGGAAAGGTAAAATGTACTGTCGTTCCGGGCCCACGCAGGCTGGCAGCGGGGCAATCGTGTTGATGAATCACGCTGGCGCTGCGGGCGCCCAGTCCTTGTCGAGGCGTCACTAATGAATTAGCTTCACCCCCAGCACGGGGCCTCTCAGCCTTTCCCCACTCCCTGGAAAGGCAGGAAAGTGAAACCTGGGAGCCAGGAGGGGCTCTGACAGCTCCAGGAATTCACCCAGACCCCGGCCAGCCCCTCTGCCCACACGGGCTGGAAAAATGTCCAAAGGCCCCTCAGGCCCGCTGAAACAGCCTCTCCATTCCTAGTCAGGTTGGCATCATCTGTTCTTAGAAAGCAAGGCTTTGAGCCTATTAGAGCTAACCATGATATGCCAGCCCAGGGAGGGTGCTTGGTACATCGGGAGATCACAGGTTCTGTTACAAAGCCAGGGACCCTCACCCCAGGAAAGTCCATGGAGGCAGGAACTAAACCTATAATTCTCCATCGCCTGAGGGCCTAGTCCAACTCCCTCATTTGGCCAAAAAGAAAAGTGACAATGTCCTTTGTACCATGGCCCACTCCCTTTACCTGTACCAGCCAGAACTTGAGTCCTCACCATCATTCAGGTATTCATTCAACAACAATGAAGCCCCTGCCCATATGCCCAGACACTGGGGATGGCTATGCATGTGAACCTCAGAGACAAAAAAAAAAGCAAAAAACAAACCCCGCCTTTTTGGAACTTGCATTCCTATGAGTGGAGATAATCAACAAACTGCATTTAAATATGTCAGGCAATGGCCAAGTTATATAGGAGCTAAAATAAGAACAGAGGACTGAGGACCCCAGTTAAAACACAGTGGCCAGGGACTTCCCTGGTGGTCCAATGGTTAAGAATTCACCTTCCAGTGCAGGGGATGTGGGTTTGATCCCTGGTCAGGAAATTAAGATTTCACATACGTCGGAGCAACTAATCCCAGATGCAGATTCTCTCTAGAAGCCCGGACTCTCCAAAGAAGAGCCTTCGAACCTGCAATGAAAGACTCCGCAGGTTGCAATGAAGACCCAATGCAGCCGTACATAAACACACAAATAGATAAATATCAAAGTGAAAAACAGAAATAAAAAGTAAAAACAGAGTGACCAGGGAGGCCTCGTCAGCAGGATGGCATTTGAGCAAAGACAGGAAGAAGGAGGAACAAACGAAGCAGACAGATGTCTGAGGAAAATAGGTTCCAGGCAGAGGGGATAGCAGTGCCAAGTCCCCAGGGCAGGGGTGTGCCTGGGCATTCTGGAGCCACAGAATGCCCGCAGAGGAAGGTAGGGGTGGCTCAGCAACAGATGAGGACAGAGAGGAAGGTACAGGACAGACCATGGAGGGCTTGTGGCCTCCTGTGAAGGCTTTGGCTTTGACCCCAGGTGAGAGCTCCCTGGGGGACTTTGAGCAGAGGAGTGACATGATTTGACACACATATTCACAGGATCCCTTTGGCTGCAGCTTCAAGAAAGATGTGTGTGGCCTGTGTGGGGTTGAGGGAGGAGACGGGGGAGGAGTTT